ACCAACTTTGGAAATCTGAGTCGAAAAAGCGACTTTGGCAATTACAATTCCACATTTTGATCCAGGTTTAACGGGGGGCAACCATCTCAATAAGATTCAAATTATTTTCTGTTCTGAAATTCCGCTTTGTACGAAATCATGATATGCAAAAAATCCATTTCTGTGTTACACTAGTTTTAAATGTGAATTGAAGTGAATTTTTGAATACAGACCAGGCGGCGAGCTGCTAAAATATTATTGGATAACTCGTAAAAGATATATTAAAAAAATTCATTCTAAACTAGCTATTTCGATTCGGCATTCAGTTTTCCAATAATTCCAAAACAGCCTCCCAAAAAATGCAAATATAACATTTCAAAAATGGGTGCAAAGTGTGAAAGAGCATTTCCGGTGTGCCGGGCATCGGCTGGGGCGTATTGGCGCATTTCTAGGAGAGCGGGGCGCGCGGTGGCTCTTCTGATTGTGGTTGTGTGGATCAGGACCGGCCTTCGTCAATCCTTCGAGCCACCCGGGGACCTTCTGCTTGTGCCCTTCTTTTTCTTTCAACATTCCCTCATCGTATCCCATCTCTTCATGTATTTGCCTCCGTCGGGGGCCCCCCTCCAATCCCGCCAGCCAGCCAGGCCAATCCTCTATAGACTATGGGAATGCGGGGTGAATTGTCAAAAGATACCGGTTTTGTTTGAATTCGGATGAGGGGCCAATAGAGGGTGGGTGGATATTTGAAGCCGATGAAAAAAGGCAGGGGGAACAATAAATATAGGTATCATTAAGTTGTCAATGAATATTTTGGGAAACTCTGTTGTAGTCCGAATATTTACCAAACGCTGTTCTCTCTAAATTCGTCAGCATTCGATCTCCAAATCGATCTAGGATAAGCGGCTAATATGTTCTGCCTTCCACTGAGATTCTTCATTTCGCAAAAATTATGAAATCAAAGAAACAAAACATTTTTGAATTTTGCATCCTATCGAGGAATTTCCAAACCAAAAAAACCATACAGTTCAAATTTTTTTCTTCTTCTTAAGAAAACTTATATTTATGACGCGTGAAACCAGCGAGACCTTAAGACCATTTTGCATCCCCTTTTATCTACGAACCACTAAACAGAGCGTAAAGAAAATTTTGCATAAGGCGTTATCTACGTACTTCAAAAGCACAAAATCGTCCAAAAAAAGCGTCAAAAACTCCAAACAAAACCGGAGAAGCCCCCATCCCGATCAACCTCCAAGAGCCACTGTAACCATTAACCTTTGGATGGGATAAATGCCTCGTCTTTTCCAGAAGCCATCTTTCCACCCTAGATCTCCCCCCGCCACATCCCATTATTCCCATCTGGGCACCTGACTTCGCGGACTTGCAAAAAGCATACCGCCGCTGCCTGGTGCTCCTGCTATGTGTGTATATCTATGTGTGTGGGTCTCTGTGTGGCGGCCTTACCCACCGGTTGAAAGGTCTCCGTTCCAAAGGTCCAGGTTGACAAATTGACTCTAATTTGCCGCCACCCCGTACACCTCTCACCGTCTCTAGGACCCAAGACAATATTTCCGGGGTAGCTGTGGGTGAGTAAAAGAAGACCCGCCCGGGGGGTTTTGCGGCAAACCGTGGCTCTTGTTTGGCGGTACGTGCCATGGATCACCGACGAAAGTGGAGACCCTTCTCCCCCAAAAGCAAGGCAGGATGCCCGCAGAAGCTTCTGAGCGATAGGGCACAGTTGTCCTCCTCCCCCTCCCCCCTCCCCCTCCCGAGCTCCGATCCATTACTTTCGGCCATTCAGAGGCTATCCCCCTTTAGTCTCTGTTTCTCTCGCTCTTTCGCTTTGTCTCTCTTTTCTCGAGCACAGAAGAGGAGAGGAACAGGGCTGCCACAGAGAGTGGTGATCCACCCCTCAGGGTCTATAGTTGGACCGTGGAAGGGAGGGGCATATGCAAATTTAAGGAGGAAAAGGATTTTCTGGAAATACGATCGCGATGTTGTAAATTGTGCTGATCGGTAATTTACTTATGTATCCGCTCAAATGGTCTCGGCTAAGCGACCGGTTGTGTTAAATATGCAAATGTGTTGACGAAAGGGAATATTGAAAAAATTTTTATAAAATGTATTAATAGATTTTACGTTTAGGAATTGTGCAACTTTAGCGTTTAATAAAATATTCTTTTACCCCTGCTTTGCAAGTTTTGATATGCATATACCGGTAGATTATATAAATATTTTTCAATTTTGTTTGCTTCCACAAAATATTATTTCAATTGCCATTTAACAGAACTATGATGCTTCCCAAAAACTTTTTTTCAGGTTCCGCTTCGGTGCCTTGTGGGCCTCCCACGCATGGGCTTCTTGGCAATGTCGAAATGTCATCATGACTCGTTCAAACCAGCTGTTCGAGTAGTCAACCGGAAGTTGTGGTGCCTGAGGGCACAACACGGCAGCTCTATTGACTCAATAAACATTTCCATCAATCAGTCATCCACCCACATCAATGTATTCGAACCATGGGCCCAAATGCCAAAATCGCAGATGACCTAATCGGGAATTATAAGGATTTGAATTGGGATCACCGGATTCAGAGTTTGGTTGGAAGAAATCTAGAAGCTTGCGGTATTTTAGTCTTCTTTATCTTAATATTCGATATTATCGAATTAGGTTTAATAAAGCTGATATCTAATATCACTCCAATGTTGTTGCCAATGAACTGAGCAACAGATACTTGGCTACCTCGGCTATTTGTTCAATGAAGAGTTCAGGGATGTTACGCGATGTAGTGACCCTATCCGGGGATCAGAGGTGTCGGCATTGCCTTTGTATATAGAGCCCGGGGCGGGGAACAGCCGATGACATAACCGTTTTTTGGCACGTTCCTCCCCTGTGGGGGCACTTGCTAGGTACCGACAGGATAGAGTTTCGGGTGGATTAACTCGGATGATAGGGGGTCGATTGTTATTGGGGCGGGTTGGGTAGTCTGGTTGTATTTTTAATTATTCGGCCATAGAAAGAAGTTAACATAGATTTTATATTGTCTTTAACATTGTTTTCGTTCGTTACTGGTCTTGGTATCTGCCGTGTAAGTACCGACAGAATGCATAAAAGTAAAATCATTTTAAAACATATATATATACATATATATATATATATATATATATATATATATATATATATATATATATATATATATATATATATATATATATATATATTATTTATTCTAAAATATAAGCCCCGATTTCGTTTCCGATTTATATGAATACTGGAATTGGAGGCTATATTTTTGTATTTTCATAATTCCGATCGGTTTTTCGACTGATCGATTGCCTAAAATGCCTAAAAATACTCCGAAAACGCATACACAAAACTCTTATTTATTTTTAAAAGTCTATCTTTAATGTTAAAATATACTACCAAGGAGGCTGCTTCAAAAGGATTGGAACTTCTATATGTTTTTGTATATAGAGGGAACATGGTATGTGATATTTACTATATAGTATGGTCGTTTTTAAGGTCCCGTCGCTTCACTGTAAATTCCCAGGTTTCCCAACTTGAATTTCGCAATTTAAATTCGCTATTGAACTTCGGTGCCAAAAAGCCTTTTCTTATTTTCACTATTCCCCGGTTCTATATAAATAACTTCTACACCACCCCATTACCGTACAGGGTGGGCCCCCCTTCCACGAACCATCGTTGGGCCCCTGCGAGGAGATGTGTCGGAATGGGGCGGCACCGAGTGCGCATAGTTTGCCCCTGGGGCGGCCCATTTCGTTTACGAGCGGCAGCTGTTGACCCGCAAGACGTTTCTAACCGGGCGACGACGGGCACCTCCGGGATCCCCGAGAAGGGATCTGGGCCCTAACCAGGGGGCCAACTCGCAATCAATGCCGCTTACAGGTAAACAGCGTGTATCGAGGGTTTAGTTATCGCCGCATGGTGTTAGAACGCCTTGATCGCCTGGAAGCTCAGTACCTTGAATTCACTACCCTAAAAGTTAATGCTCCAAAAGAAATCGCCTGAAAAGATACACCATAATTTTTACTCGGACCTAAAAAGGAAATCCTCGCATTTCCAGAATTTCGAAGTTTACATATATTTAATACGAGGTCTTTCATGGAAATTTCGAGATTCTGAAAATTCTTGGTGATGATAATTCATGATTCTGGAAAGCGTTTAAGAAAAATAGGTAATTTGCAGGATGTGGGAATTATGTTTTTCCAAAGCTCCATATTCTTCTTTTCGAGATTATGATTTTCGAGATTCCTATGTGGAAACTTTTTACTGGTGTGGAAGGATCTCATTAACATTTGAGTAAATTCCTTCCAGGTACCTTATCCTTTGTAGGAAATGAAAACGATTATTATTATAAGTAAATTTAAGGAAGCTAAAAATTAAAGCTTTAAACCAGACGGAACTAAAAAAATCCTCATTTATGAGTACTGTAACCCGGATTGAAGTTGTGTACACCTTGAAAGCAAAGTATCTACGTTGGCTTCTTCTGAAACAAATTACAAATCAATTGCCGAAAGTAATAATGCCCGTTTCACCAACATTACTTTTCCAAATCAAATCCTAAACGCGTGGCCTCGCACCCCCCCAAGGGGAATGAAAAATGTGCAAAATTACAACGGTCGATGTGCGGCGATATTTATGACGTGGTCACCCCCAAAGTACTTGGCCCGGCGCTTATTTATGGACCGGGCTTCTGTGCAGCCCATCAATGTTGGGTCGATTGATTGAGTCAACGAGGTCTGGGTTGTATTTCAGATCGATTTCAAAAAGAAGTCTGCACCTGACCCGGGTTCTTTTCAACATGGATTGTAATACGCAACTAAACAGTAAAAAAATTTCTGGTAGGTATTTATTAAACACAGTTCAACCGTTTCGTGTAGAAAATTAAATATGACCTACAACCCATAAATTCTAGCGTACTGCCTGGGAAAATAGAAAATGAATGTTACAAGTCTTTGATAATATTGAGCAAAAACGCAGCTAGAAAATTCATAGAGCCAATTCTAGGGTAACGGCAAATATCGTAGCGAGCTAATGGCACCAATAACCTTGATTTCTCTCAATTTACATTCTTGCGTGAACCTATTCCAGTCGTGTGGGTGTAGAAATTCGACAATGTTGCATTGATGAAGGGTGATCGTCTGAAGACGTGGGTGAGTAAGTATCGCGCTGAAAGTACAGATTACTGTAATACAACGAGTTCATTTCTTTTGGTTTAGGAGCCCGTTTAGCGCGGCAGTTGTCCCAAAAATGTTATTTCCCTCCTCGTAGCCGCTTTGTCAACGGAAAATGCTGCGAAGCTGACTCGAATACAAATATGCTCTTTGGAAGAAATACGTGTTCAATTTTCAGACAGTCACCTCCAGGCCTCCGGATTGTCCGTTGGTCTCTAGGCAACGAGACCAGGAAATGCGATAGTCATTTTTCAGCAAATAATAAAATCCTAATATACACCCGACATGTCATTAGAATGTCATTTCGGGGTGTCTGGGGAATGGCTAAATCTGCTTACGTTATGAATTCCCGGAGGTCATGGTGGCTAGAGAATAGTAGGTTTTCCATCTTGATGCTCTGCAGCTTACGGTGAGTTCCGAGGACCCATGGGATCAGTGTTGGCATTTGTGGGCAGCTTAGGCCATCGGATATCTAGAATCTCCTTAAAATCTGCGTATTTGAAACTTTGATGTTACTTATTTAGCGTCGACACCTTTCAAATTTATTACCCATCCCTTAAGCTGCCTTTCGGATCATTTTTCCTCAATAAATATCTCTGCACACAGCCAACGGCGTTTTTTTCAATTTCCTTTTCCGAATTCCGCTTTAATAACCCCAAACTGGGCATCTATATCCAGGCCCCCTCTTAATGAAAAAGTGACGCAGCTTTCCACACACGCTACAAACCGTGTAGCCGTAAAATTTGCCGATAGCGCTAATCCGGCAAAGCACGCAAATAAAAAAACACGCATATAGTTTACTCTAAGGGCCCGGAATTTCGCACGGAACATAAAGACGTGACAACCAACTGAAAACTACTTACGTGCCCCAACTAACCACCTGCTGGTCAGGCTGAAAAAGAATATGAACATAGAAGTTGCTGGAACCATATTAGTTACAGATTTTCGTTTAAATTTAGGCGTTCTGTTTTTTAGTTTTTCTCGGATTGCCTGCAAAAATAATTCCTAACTGTTGGAAAGGCGTGTGATTCATTCGGGGCAGACCCTACATTTCGAAGCGCGTGATAAGCCGAGTGTTCGGATTTAGTGAGCCGAAAACAGAAGAACTTTTGTGTGTATTTCGAAACTCTGCAGTAATCTATGCTTCCTTTTAGGGAATAATTAGCGTCATAGCCTCCCTAGGCCATATAAATTATGGCGAGCCGATTACTGTAGATGCAAATGGTGTGATAACTAGCACTTCCACATCTCCTAAGGTTTTTTCTTTTTTTTTTCTCGTTTCCTAATCCTAATCCCCTTTCCATACCTACCTAACCCCATTCAAACCTTTTTCAAAAAAGTGCACAAGAATGGGAAGCCTGTAGCGGCGACAAAAAAAGAGCGCCGATGTTTATAATTCGTCAGAATCGCGAGACATTGCCCGCATTGCCCAACGAAGCGAATAAGCCTACCTCCTAATATTTACGCAAAATGCTCTCACCTCAATGTTCCGTAATTCGGGCAAGCATATCCCTTCAGCCCTCATTTGGGTGAGAATCTTTGTGACGCTGTCACGGGAGCTCTCCAAAATTAACGTTTCCAATTTGGGCATCGGCGGGAGAGATTCTTGTCGATAACAGCCGCCTGGAACGTCAGCACTCTTTTTCTAGCCGGAATATTGCATGTAACCTCGCTATGGGGCTTTTTTCTAGGTATCTTTATTAATTATCTAATTAACGGCCATGGTTTTTTGTGAAAATCGATAACCATGTCGGAGCAATTCCTAGCGACAGGTGAACCAACACTTGGTGCTCTGACGGAAACTGGCAAAGTTTCAGCAGTTTGTCAATTTTCTGGAGGGTTTTCCTACTTTTACCGTTTATTACTATTCAATATATCGATCGTTTCCCTTTACATACCTTTCCTAATAACCATTCTTGGGCTCCAGTCGCTTATCCGTAATTCTTTCAGATTTCTGAACATTGCCAACCCTCTCAACGCATCCGGCTCCAAGGCCAACTGCCCTGAGATGATGATCTCCAGGCAGGCAAGGTTGGGAACCGCTTGTGATAACTGCAAATATCCATAGCACCATTAATAGACCAATTCAATTACCTGACAAACGTTTGTTAATGTTAATGTACAATCAGCATCAGCTAGTCGCAAAACTTGTAAATTGTGCATATAAGCCCGCAAAAAAGACGTCATTTTGCCCATGCGCAACTTTTCACGCCCAACAAAACACCCGGATTCATGGTCCTTAATTTGCTAAAACCTATTTTTCCGCCTATTAAAAATACCTTGAGCAGTTCATTTCCAATCGAAGCTTTTCCTTGTTCAAATAGGACCTCATTAGCGCAATATTGAAGCCGGCGGCTAATCTGGAAGACGATCACGGATTAGTCGCTTTTCGCTTTATTACCTGTCTAAGCCGGATTATCGATCCAAAGTCACATAAACTGACTATTTGTCTTAAAAGTTCGCCGGGCAAAATGTCCATGGTCGCGCTGGAATACGTTTGTTTTGTTATTTATTATTGTAGGAAGAGCAAGAGGAGGAAAAAGGCCACAATAATCCACAATAATTATAAGTAGCCTTGCCACCAGAGTGCTGCCCATAGACACGTCCCCAAAAACAGGATCTCACTGTCAATAACCCAGGCACAATAATGAGCGGCAAGCAAAGCTCAAAATCTTTCAGAAAAGGAAGAAGATCGGTTCGAAATGACAAGTTCAGGTGGGAATAGGCAGAGATAAGCTTTTCCCCACTGGACCCGCAAAAAGCCCAAAACGGATGGGTCGCCGAGGTTTAAAATTGGAAAAGAGCGCTGGCACGATTTGAGCCTAAATTGGAGCTGCCATCGCCCCCCACAAGCCATCCACCGCGTTTAGTATTGATTGTTGCTTTATGGAAACTTCTGCTCTAACTTTATAAACCAGTAACGTTAAAAATTGCAAATAATATGGAGTTGTTGGATGGGAGTAATTGTTGGTGAGTTGTGATGGGTTGGAGGTGGCCGTACTGTCCAAACAGACTTGTCCTCCGTTTGGACGAGAGACAAAGAAGCGGAAGGTGCACTGACTGACCCACGCACACTCCCAACAAATTTCTAAGGCCAGATCTAATCTGCACCAGGCGCCAACAAGAAATAGTGAGAGAGAGAGAGACCTTTCTGACAAAAGTGAAAACTGTCGTTGAAGGGAGAAACAAGGCTATGAGCTATCGAATATATAGAATTTTTGAAAATTTTATGTGCACCCTAGTTGCAAAAAATAAGATTAACTTTATGATATCAACGTTACTGGTGTCAGGTATAAAAGCTTGTATAAAAATTAGTCAAGCTATGCCCTATCCAAAAAACCGTGGCTTCTGCGGCCCTTTCGCGGAAGATGCTCATGACGCTCGGTAGGTATCTTCTTACCACCCCCTGTTCAAAACAGGCACTGTCGTCAATACATTTTCCCACATCTCGCTGCCTTTCACGCAATGATTCAGAAAGCGGCGGCTCACTCTTGTAAAAATCAATAGCGATAAATTCAGAACCCAAATCCGCTTCCTTTCTAGCTCTCTTTGGTAACCCGGTTTTATTGAACAATCCTAAGGATTTTTAGATGCAGTAATGACTTCGATTCTACGATTGATTTGGAAATTAATAGGCTTCACGACGATCTCTAAAGTTTTTGGTTCAATTTTTGCAACCGTTTTCATGGCAACGGATCCCAATGAGACAAATACGCAAAAGGATTAGCCGTTCTGCGCCGACTCTTAGCTGTAAAATTGATCGTTTCTAATCTCATTATCAAAGTCCGAAAAGGGCCAAATCATATTCTCAAAAACAAAGTCACATGTTGTGTGGGCCCCCTCATTCCTCAGGTTTTCTCTAGCCTTGCTGTGTTATGTGTGGGGCCCCGGCCGGGGCCTCGGCAAAAACGTGTACGTTTTTACTATCGACACCAAAAAACAATGCTTCCCTCGTCCACTGCTGATGCATGACCAACAGCGCTGCGGCATATCCTCACAATTACCTTTTAGCTTTGTAAATGTGTTGTATTTTGTTTTATATGAAATAAGTAGCGTACGACAATTTATGAATTACGGGCAGTACACCGGCGCGCCTGGTGCGGCACGCGTGGATAATTCGCGTTTAACAAGAGAATAATTTGGAATTTGGAATCTAGAACACTAGGATATATGCGTAAATTCATCTCGTAGTGTAGATAGATACGCTCGGATCAATGTGGAAAATATCAAAAGCATATCGTGTAATTTATTGCGTACTACGCTTTGTATATGATGTTCAGAACATTTGGTATATTAAACAATTCTTTAGACGTATAATTATACTATTTTTGTTATAAACTATCACCGATATTTTGTGCATCTTCCAAGGACACGTGATATCCATAGCCTCGGCTTTGCAGAATGTCTCAACAAGGTAGCCGCAACACCACACCTTCACCGGGTCTATCGATGATCGACTATACTGAGAATTATCCACTACACTTCATTCCTGTAAGTTGACTATCTACTTCATTTCTCTCCATCATGAACATAACTGATTCTAGTTAGACGCAAAACTCAAAAGCCACAAAACTTACCATTAGAAACAAAGATAATTATATCTTTCAGGTCCGTCCGGTCACTCCGCGCTTTGAAGGAAGCCACTGTAAAAATTGTATTCAATACATGGAGCACATCAAGCAGTTGCAGGTAAAAATTCTTTAAAGCTGAATGGTAAAAAAATTCAATGGGAAAAGAGCCTCGACGCAATTTGGACTTGCTCGGAAAATTACAAAAATGTTATTTCAGCAACACATTGACCGTGTACACGAGGAAAACCGACGCCTCAATTCCAACAACCGCACGATCCGCGAAACCTATGGACGCTACTATAGCCGAGTAAGTTGGCCTTTGACTGAACCCCCTCGCTCCACATTCGCACACTTCACTGATCTTTCAGGCTGAGCACGAAGAGGAATATGTCTCCAATCTGCTTCTGAAGCGTATTCAGAAACTGAAGGAAGAGAAGGAAGTGATTGCCCAGAAATATGAGCAGGAAGAAGAGCACATCGCCATCAATTTGATGAAGCGCATGCGTGAGGTGAGAATTCGTCTGTTCTAATCGTAATTCGCTTTTCATTAGGTGCAAGCTGAGCGTGACAATGTCAAGAAGGAGATGAAGAAGGAACAAACTGAACAAATGGACGCAATGATGAAGAATATACGCAAGACTGAGACAGAGTTGGAGGAGACCCGCAAGGTAAGTATTTTAACCTTGAGCAGAAACATATTTATATATAGGTTCTTGATCGTATGCGACGAGAGAAGATCGACCAGGAAAACGCTTTGGAAACTGAGCAAGAAATGTTGTACAATACGCTTGGGAAACAGTTGGATCAGCTCAACACCGATAAGAAGTTTGTAAATCGTTTCGACTCGTTTATCTCATTCAGGGAGACTGGAAATCATTTTAAACCGCGCTTATCTGAGAGGCTACGTTGATAATGAGGATAACATTGATGTTCGTGGAGGCCCTAGGTATGTAATTCATTACTTACTGGAGATTTGAGCAGATTTAGCGGCGTTCCCTCTCCTATTCCGGCTGTCGTTGCCGAAGAAGTGCGTCCTCCATCCACATTCACTGCCGAGGCCCATCAGGCAGAAATGAGTAGTAGGTTTTGAAAATGGGAGGGAGTTTTCCGTACGGTAGTAGTACAAGAAGGACAAGAAATCACTTTGTCAATTTGTCGGGTATCGAAAAGCCATTACTTGATTTAGAACTCGTGATGGTGGCCAGTGAACGTATCCGGGCTCTTGAAGAGACCATCGCTAGTTTGACGAAGGAAAAGGAAGCATTTTGCGGCTACATGGATGAAATGCGCCGTTCCTTCAGTGACCGCTTCGATGGTTGCTTGACGCCCAGTGGTTCGAGTAAGGGCTACGCTTCCGCAAAACCTTGAATTTTTTTTCAGGCAATTATGTGATGGAAAGCAACGATGTGAGGGAATACTCGATGGGCCCACCTTCAGTCCCTCCTACTCCACGTCCGGCTATTGACTCCGGTTTGGGTTTTAATAGTATTTTATATTACTGCTAATAATAAACAATTCACTGGTTCGATCTTCAGTTTCGGACATGGACGATGCCTCTTCGCGTGGCTCCCATCGTGATGATTAACGCAACGCCAACACCATTTGTATCTTAATGTTCCTATTCGACTTCTTGTAGCTTTACTTTCCTGTTAATTGTGTCTGTGTTTTGTTTGCCCCGTGAGCATGATGTTAGTGATCTTTACATCAGTACCCTGATATAGCCGCGAGTTTCTTTCAAAAGCCAATGACCACGCGTTAGAACAGGAAATTCTCGGTTATTCTTCGCACTACAACTTGCATTCCGCAAGCTGGACTGGCCGAGCATCAGTTCAGCTTGCAATCTTTGGAATACATCAGCCTACGCTTGTTACCTGCTGGCAAATCGGCTTCTAAACTTTCCCACTTGCACGACGGGTTGCTATTTGTTCGTTGCATCCATCCGTGCGCCAACGTGTCGAACCTACGTGTGTATTTAAACCCGGACGTTGGTCTTTTGTTGGGATTTCCATAAAAATCGAAAACCACAATCCCAAATAGAGACGCACCATTGCTTGTAGGCTGCCTAGTATTGCTTGTTGAGCACCGTTTCCTTTTTATTGTATTTTCTGCTTGATGTTTGTCTCTCATGCTATCACCAAGCGCCCCCCGGATTTGTGACGCTGCCTCCCACATTTCGCGTAAAATTCTGGAAATAAAAGTTGGCGCTTATTCCGGTGTGAGCACGATTAAACCAAGCATTGATTTTATTTTAATGGATACATTCATTTTAGAACTGACTACTTCGAAAAACAAAGAAAAGAAACACAAACAAAATTGATGTCTATTGTAATCTTGAAGTTAGTTAGCCCCATTCTTTTCAAGTGCAGTAATGGAATATGGAATGGAATACTAATGGAAGGGGGTCAAAATATGATAGTTCGGGGAGTACTCATGATTTCTCTGAAATAAACATTTGTTTAAACATCGGCATTCTCTAAAGAAAGAAGATATTATAATATTTTTCGCATTCTATCGAATGGCATTTTCAAAGCATAATGGATATTGAAAATACGGAAAATCGACCGCTCCGGTTGTCCCATGTATTCTGCCGCCCATAGCTTTGAATCAAAATTTTAAACTATAAAACTTTTACAATACATTTTGTCAGGCTGAAGTTTCAAAAATTGTAATAGTTTTTGACTCTGTGCGGCTTACGGCTCGGAAGGTCAAAAAAATCTCAAAAGTTTGCCTTCCCCCAGTTGTTGGCCAAGTTCTCTTTATTCAATAAAAATGTCATTTATATTTTCTCGCGTCGAATTTAGGTATTTTAGTAAATTTTTCGACGCTTTTCGAATAGCATTTGAAAAATCCGAAAATTCTTTATATTGTTTGAAATCATGAACACCCCCGTGTTTCATCCCCCACTGCTACCGATATGTGTGCCATTCGGGCGTCACATTTCACCAATTATCTAGGGAAGAAAACTTAATGCAAAACACGAATCTAATTTCTCCAAAAATAACACTCTTTTGCCCCTGGTATCAACAGTTTCCTATTTTCGGAAATCCATGTGATCTTCTGACTTTGCGGCGAAAGTGACGGACTACGTACTTTGCGGCAAGCGGCCTCGAGTTGGAAGCGCGGTCGGGTCCATGGCGTAAACAACGTTATTTTGCGTCTTTCCGCGTTCCGGTGAGAACCCCGGGCCAGACGACCCTCCCGGTTGGATTGATAGGGGACGCGGGCATCGTGTCCCGTTCGGTCACATCGACTGTCCCCCGATGCTTTTGTAACACCTGTAAGCGCCCCTCCTATACCCAAGCCAATATCGCCGTTATTTTTGCCGCTTTTCATAAGATTTTTGCAGGAATTTTTGCATAAATTCGATGTTTTCTAGAAATCCAGGCTAAAGGTCGAAACATGCTTTGATACCGGTGATTTTTCATAGTTTGCTCATGTTTTTTCGCGTTGCTTTTACAATGTTGAAATTTGCATAAGCAAATCTTCAGGGGAAAACCCAAATTCCATCCAAAAATTTCAAAATATGAAGATTTTCGATAGTAGCAAATCTGTTTTCTCACCTGGAATGGTTCCCGATTCATACCATGCCTGTGCGAATGGATGTTTAGCTATACCTATTTGATCTTTTGATCTTTGCGATATGTCCTTGGCGAAGCTACCCTATCTGGCGAGCCATAGCACTAACGAACACTTATGAGCACTCACGAACGCGTGCTGATCGATTGGTTGTTTTTGTTCAAGCCAAGCCCCGGGCGGAATTTGAAACAAAATGTTTTTTTTGATCTGACCTTTGCATCTGGCCATACCTATATAGGCGCTCACCTAAGAACCAATTTTCATCACTTTGGTTCAGCTCTATTTTGTATGCATCGCTACAGCCCTTCTAGTTACCAATATTTTCTTAGATATAATGCAATACAAAAGCCAGCGTTTTTTGAAAATTTTTTAAAGTATAACCCCCTTCAGCAATAGACAATAAATGCTCCTGAATGAATATTAAAATCCCTGCCACCACCCAAAAATGTTGGTAGGATTGTTGAAAATTATTTTATTTTTGTATTCTATATATTCTCTGATTCAACTATTAATGTTCGCTAGTAAAACATCTCAATAGTGTCGAAGTGATTTTAAAATCCGTATCTCCAGATGGCAGATGTCAAATCAGAGTTTTGATAACAAATCCTGGTCATATTTCGGTATTGCTACTTTATCTCCTTCATGTCCAAGGTTCACTTGTTGACCCTATTTTCTGCAAACGTATTTTGCTCGGCAACCCCCCCATCACGAGCGCTTTCTCAGAGTGGGCAATCCGGGAGATGAGGGGACAACTTTTTGATCCCGAAATTGCCTGGGCTTCCGATTTCTTGTTATCGGTTTCTGATCAGATCCCTTCTCCCCATCGCGGATCAACTGTTCGACAACATACTTGGACCGGAAGGACTGGATTTTGGGCGCTGTTTTTCGGTCCGATATTAAATTCCAAAACGCTCCGCTTTCTCAGGCAGCCCCGCCCGTCAATATATTCATTTCCATTTTCAATCAAACATCAGATTTTCAATATTCCCTTTGTTGCTCGTATTGAACACTTTGCAGAAAAAAACATGTTTTTCCCTCAGGCGATTAGCCTTGGGATTTTGTTGACGAATCGGGCCTTCATTTCTAAAGCTCTAAAATTTTTAAAAATATATTCCGAATAAATACTAATATGTCTTCTAATAATTTTCTTAACATTTAATTTTTAGTTTCCAAATTATCTGTCTTCTGGGAAAAATCGATTTGAATCTGTCATCATCGATAGCATTAATAGTTCCTAATCATATCAGGCTACCCCTTATCTGCCTTTCGACATCTGTCCACAGGATCCCGGTCAACATGACCCTCATTATGATAACTATTTTTATAATAACTCATATTACTAGAATAACTTGTCGAGTCGGGGGTTAAAAAAACAATTGTTTTTTTACTTTTTCATACAAAACCGACGGTTTTCTAAAAAACCAAATCTTTTAAACTTTTTTATCCACAGGAAATTTGTCTTAAACATTTTGCAGGAAAGCGCTTTTCTTGGGGGGATTAGCCAAGCGCGAGCTCTGGGTTAGTTGACGAATAGCGCGTTCGCTTTGCTCCCTTTTCTTTGGGCTGCGTTGTCGACTAACTGAGCGATAAACAAACCCGCATCGCCGGGTTGCTTTCCCCCTAATAGCAGTGCCCTACGGAGAAATTCTTATTTCCAGGCGTGTTTTTCGCTTAGCGTAGGCCGAATTGATCAGAATGCTTGCCGGGTTGACCTTTCCCTTATCTGGTGTAGTGTCCTGTGGGTAGCGGCCAAAGGATAACGACTGCAGTTGCCTCTGACCCGTCCTCTATTTCTGACCAATGTTTTCCTGTTAGGGTATCTAATTTTAATTAGTCGGATAGGATGCTAAGGAATTTGGCACTTTTGGGCCATTGGATTTGGCTTCGATTACTGTGTTATTCCCTCTCGTATCTTGGATTACTGTATATTTGCACCCCGTTGTGCTACAGGATTTTGAAATATAACAAAATACTCGCCAGCGCAAGGCCAACATTTGGTCTACTTTATAACGCTGTAGCTGGACGTGGAAGGGGTCAACTGCATCTTTACCTTGGATTTGAATTTCGTTCATTTACACTTATTTATTTCCCCATTGTCTTCCAGTAATAAGCTCCACATCCTGTCATTTATTCAGAACGCAATGGTGATTCTATCAAAAGCCGAAGCTCAAATCTGCGCCGAAGAGACGCTATGGGAGCCTCAAATGGAGAAAGACGCATGCGGAGTTGGATTCGTAGTGTCGATCAAGGGCGAAAAGACGTATAAGGTATGTTAGTGCTGTTGGTGCTCACGATAATTTCCCCTTGTAGATTATGGCTGATGCGCGGATCATGCTGGAGCGAATGGCTCATCGTGGTGCTTGCGGATGTGATATGGATACTGGAGATGGAGCTGGTGTACTGGCTGCTATCCCTGATGCTCTATATAGGGATGAACTGAAGAAGTAAGTTTCCTCCATCGGGATGGTGAGAATCTGATAATTCTCAGCGGCTTGTCCAGAGAAGGTTCTTTGGCAAAGGGTACTTTGACTTTGGGCCGGCTGGTGATAAGAGAACAGCTGGCGTTCACGTGCATGTTTTCCACAACTCCCCGTTCGCCATCTTATCAGCGACCGATAGTTTGCTAAATGGGCGATGTCTGGCTATTTTTAAATTCATGCTGCAAAAATCTAAAAGCAAAACAAAAACTAAACAAAATGATCTTTCAGAACGGATGACGTGGACCCGCCACCTGTTGGGGAATACGCCACCGGCATCCTTTTTATGGCTGAAGGCTCATACAAGCAAGCGAAGGTAGTATAAGTTATTAATTCATAATTTCCTTTCACCAATTATTAATTGATTTTATAAAATCGTGAATTATTTAGGAAGCATTGGGCGACCTGGCCCGCGCTTGCAAGCTGAAAGTAATCGTTTGGCGGAAATTGGCGGTGGATAGAAGCTGCATCGGGAGGAAGCTCACAAAACCGAGCCGCTGATTCGCCAAGTCTTCCTCACCGCGGGATTATGCCCACGAAGATAAAGACCAGTTCGAGCGCAACCTCTTCCTGCTGCGAAAACGGTCGAATACCGTGATGCCGAAGCAGAGTCTCGACTGTTATATCTGCTCTCTATCGACGACAATCATCGTTTATAAGGTTTCGTACATCAGATGTGGCAACATCTTATTTAGGGGCAATTCACTCCTGCAACAGCCATACAAGTACTACGATGATCTGACCGACACACGCTTCATCTCCCACATAGCTTTGATTCACTCTCGTTTCTCCACAAATACCTTCCCTGCATGGCATCGTACTCAACCAAACCGGTATTCCATGATATTGGTCAATATATGGTAATTTTTAGAATGGTTGCCCATAATCGGTGAGATCAACACTCTTCGCGGCAACATCAACCTGATGCATGCTCGGGAAGGTGTCATGAAGAGCAAGACATATGGAGAAAATCTTGAGAAGGCAACCTTATTGGCTGCTATATTTGTATTCTTATTATTTTTAGCTATTCCCCGTGGTCGAAGATGGGTTAACCGATTCTGGGTGTTTTGACACCCTACGAGTTTCTGGTTAAAGCCGGAAATCGTTCCCTACCTGAAGCAAGGGATGATGATGGTGCCCGAGGCTTGGGAGAAAGATGAGGTAGAAACAAAATTCCAGTCGGCAAATCTCACCGATTTTAGTTTATGCCCCATGACAAGAAGCACTTTTACCGTTGGGTCTTATGTTCATGGAGCCCTGGGATGGGCCCGCGCTTCCTAGCTCTCTGATGGTCGCTATATTGGAGCAATCCTAGACCCGAAATGGGTTGCGTCCGGCTCGAGGTAGGTTAAGCCTAAGCCTAAGAGCTGTGCAGCCAAAAATCACTATATTGCAAAAATTTAGTTACTACTTAACTGCTGATGGTCATCTCTACTTATCCTCCGAGGTTGGCGTCAATGATCATGAAGCCGACTCGGTGATCAAGAAGGTAATTTTTTTATTTCAGGATTGTTTGTTTTTTCAATTGCATATTTCGTTCGTGGAAACATTTCAAAATTTATTGCACCTCAAGCATTTGGGGGTTATAGAAAAGTTTATTATTATGATGTGTCTCACGTGTGTGCAGCCAGCGAGCGTTTTTGGGTGTTTTGCGAGGGAATTTAGTAGTTGATCTCTTCGCCTCTCAAATTTGGTTCATTAGTTTGCTAGTGATTTCATTTGTCAATCAATTATATATTAGTTAAAAATTTACCCGGGGAAACCACCGTAGACGTAGATTGGCTCGAGGGCCGGGAAGTTGGCTGGTTCAGCCGCACGCTTGCCAAAGCGCATGAGAATTCGGTTCGGTGCCGCCGATGCTAGCGAGACCATCTAAAAAAATATTCCCGGACTTTACTTTATGTCCAAAAGCTTTTTGATTAATGGCACACCATCAGAATAGCACAGATAAGCGCGAATACCTTAGCAAGCATTGCGACGTGTAGTACCTGAAATGGTAGTTCGAGTGGGGACGACAGAAAAAAAATCAGGACTGACGAAGAGGCCAAGATCAAAAAAATCGCTGCCTTAAGGATAACCAAAAATATCTACCCTTTCGAAATGCTCAGATTTACGAGGCTACTACGAAACGAAACGTCACCACTGGCCCATCTCGCACTCTTTTAGGCAATCTGGGGGGGCTATGTCAAGCAGCAATCTGCCTTGAAGGCCAATGAGTGATGATGGTGGGCCAGAGGGAAGCCATTTCCGAACAGATGGAAATATAGAAAGCGCATCCCGAAATCTTCTCTATTTATACGGCCCAACTTCAAGGGAGGGGCTTAAAAACGAAGCGTAGCCTATCGAAAGAAAAGCTAGCCAAGGGCCATTGCCGTCCGTTGAAATACGAGAACTGGAATTGTGCAAACGGAAAAGGGAATTGGCGGGTGTGCGTTTGATGCGACGACGTCGCTTTCGCTTTCAATTAGTTGAGTAGCTGATTTTTACTTCCGCTATATTACAATTCTCTCGGTCTGTATTTGTTTAGCGCTACTAGGGGTGGTGACGAGAATTATTGCCGGTTAGGGATGAAAAAATACGGGATGTCAGACGGAACGCCTGGAACATGGTTTCCTAGCGCTTTGGGTATCTTCGAACTTGAGATCCTGCGCTAAATTCAATTCCTCTTGGACTAAAGATTTTGCACGGGGGCCCCAGCTTCCTTGAATCAGGTGTATAAGGTGCTAATGTTTTCGCCAATCGGCAGATAACTGGCCCAAACCCACTCAAAAAAATACTGCTTGAATTTGTGTGCGCACTTCATGACTTTTTAGCAACACAGCGCAAATTGAAAGATATATGGTTATTAAATACGGTCAAAAGTGGGGAAATCAGCTGTAAGATTTTTGATCCTAACGCTTGGCCGCTAGGTTTAGAAGGTTTTAGGTAAAAGGCCTGATGCAACCAGGATGCGCGAGAATCGCTGAATGGGGAATCGCGGGATGGGGGCATGCCGGCAGAATGTAGGAAATAGCCAGCACGATGAGCCAGGGGTGTGGCCTGATGGGAATTCCAGGTCATAGCCCATTGAGAAGCGAAAACGGAAGGATCCACTGGCTATATGGGATATTGAAGTGGTGGTCTCCTCACGGCTTGACGTCGGAGTATTGCCTACCCCTCGAATCCCTCCTTTCACCATTTTTTAACCACGACCCCCACCCCGAACAACATCAGATTTCACGCATTGTCGGGTGGTCGAACACTAAACAAAACAAAACAAAATTGGGGCAAAATATTTTATAAGACGCTTTGCCAGGCGTTTATTTGGCTTTTATAGTGCAAGTAAATTCTAGAGGCTTGAGAAAAAGGTTTGCAACCAAGCAAAACGTGGTGAAATGATGGGATTTGGCCCTGAGGGACCGGGGTTTAAGGATCGAGTGTCGTTGGATGTTCTCAGGGGACACGATCAGAGTATTAGATTTTCGCTTCAAATGGCCGCCCACGACCTAAACCGGCGTTGGGACCCTTCAGATCCTCTTTAAGGCCCACGCCAACATTTCCTATTCCAGCGGATATGTCTAGAAATTTTTAGTGGTTCCACGGGGGAGGCCCAGGAACGTGATACACGCATGACTTGAAAAGCGGCGACCGAAAAGGCAATGAAAATACGAATCCCCCCGTTCACGTTCGCCTGAGGTCTGCGCCTAGCTCTTATTGTTTGGCTGCCTTTATACGTGGGGGACGCGGTGACTGATTGATGAGCTACGGTACCTCCTATGGCTGCAATTCGACTAATTCAAGCGGCCCTATCCCGCTAAGGTGAAAGATAGCTTTTCCGGTTGATTTAGTGCGGCGGGCGGGGGCAGAAATCTCAAATAGGCGCTCTGGGATCGTCGGTGTGAGAAATGACTGGCCTAGCATCAAAGCGTCGACACTGCCCTTTGGCATTACGGGCCAGATAGATAATGGTTGTGGGATATTTTGAGCCGCAACCTCTGTGAAAGAAAGCTGACCTCAGGACATGGCAGGGCAGGCGCCGTTTTGAGTAAACTTTTTACAAAGGCGCCGTCCGGCCTATTCATCGGGAATCAAAGCGCCGCCGGCGTGCTGCTCGTTTAAGAGGCCTGACGTGAACTTCTGGGGGTCATGTTTTAGATGTTTTAGTGCTTCTACCCAGATCGTCTGCCGTCTGGTCAAAAACCTATCTACCAATTTCTGACGGGGCTACTTGACTCAAAGGCAACGAACTGGAGATCCGGAGGTCTCTTGGTTTTGCATCCGGTGTCGGCTCCTAGAAGTAAACGTGTGCCACCCTGAATCAATTGTGGGGGTGGTGTAAAAGAATAGCACTTTACGCCCTCGTTTCAGAAACACTCCGGGCACAACAGGACTATTTATGGACATTGTGCACAAAAACATCCAAAACGAATTCGGCGCGTTTGGTTCATTTAAACCGGCGGTCTGCTGGCTTATTTTCTTCCAAAACGCATCGTGCTGAGCGGATCTCTCTTCCCGAAGCGCATCGTGTCTAAAAAGAATTCGGTTAAGGAAAGAATGGTAGTTCGGAAATAAGCTAACTGGTTTTAAAAGAATTGAACTAACTTAGCGGATTTGTAGTTCTTTTTCCAAAGCGCATTGTACTTAGCGGATCGCCGCCGCCAGCGGAGGAACGTTTGAAAAAGTTTCCATTGTCTGAAAACCGAAATCCTAGAAAAAGCTTCGTTTCAGTGCTGGTTAGTTGGGTTCTGTAGTTAGGGGCCGTGCGCGGAGGTGCTTTTGGGACGACATTTTGGCAATAGGCTCCATAGAAAGCATCCTACCGAACGATCTGAGTCCAGAGCGCTTGCCGAACCGCATGGTCCCGAGAGCACGCTCCTTCCTGACGAGCCCTTGGAACGATGGCGTCTGGACGAGAGTGAATGGCTCATCCATTGCGTATTTCGCTAAATACGTTTTGTTCTTACCAAATTGTGTTTTTACCAATATAGCTTCTCTTTCCAAAGCGCATCGTGTCCAATGGCGAACGTTTGTCGTGGTCAGTTTCGTCATCTAATGTAAATGAAGATAGACTGTGAAAATTTGCGAAAATAATATCGATCAAGTCTCTGTTTTTTAAAGAAAATAACGATAGCCACAAATGATACCCCAAAATCGGCTACTAGTCAACGCTACTTACCGTAGACTTGTTGCGCAGTGGCCACAAAGCAAATGGCGGCCAATAATCCCCATAGACAGCGTAGTGACATGATGTGGCTTAGAGAAGTATGAGCGACAAGGGATCCCTCGTTGCGGGTTGGGCTGGGGCACCGGGAGTCTGGAGTGCCGGTGGGCCCAGATTTGTGTGAAATGGCCGACGACTTTCCGCGTTTATACGCCATCAGCCACGCTTCAATGGGCACAAGGTGGCGGCAGTAGGGGCGCCAGGCTTGGCAGCCAACTTCTTCTCCTTTCCATCGTTTTCCATGGCTTTCCTCTCGAATGAACTCCTTCGGTGGCAAGACCCGATTGAAGTGCCCTCACGCGATTTGGGGCACACAAACGAACGGTCACCACCTACCTACACCTTCGGAAGATGGGATCTGGATAGGGCTAGGAGAAACATGGAGTAAAACTTTTATAAGGGTGTTGCCATCAAAAAGTTCATTACTACGATTCCGGCCGAATTGAAATTTTGAATAGAGATTCGGAAGGGAATCTTAAATCGTCACTGAAACTTTCAGCCAGACCAGTACAGTAGTTTAGTTTTTCAATAGCCTTTTTGCTTTGTTTTCCGGTTATCTTTGACTTCCAGTCATGAAACTTGCATTAAGGTCAATTTTCCTTTTTTTAACTGACTCAAATATGCCATTTTCGTGCCAAATTTGTTCATGTAAAAAACTTCTGGACTATAAAATGTCGTGCATCATTTTCACCACACATTCCAAAATCCAAGTTCGGTTGTTGGCGGGGTTAAAGTTGCTTAAATATTTTAAATATACTCCCATATCTCTTTGCGAAATTTCAAGCCGATCGGAGCCAAAATGACAGATACTGGCAACGTTTGTATTTTTAAGATTTTTTGAAACGCCTATAAGTGTCTAAATCAACTCTCGCCCATGGTATACAATGAAATTTGTCTGGTGATGGTAAACAATCAACGTTTATCGCTTTTTTACATGGTATCACACTAGCTGTAATTGTTCAACGAAGAAAATTGATCGATTCGGGGGCGTTGAGATACGGACAAGTGTGTGGGAAGCAAAGAAATGGGATTTTGCGTACAAGCCGGGCGTTAATAAAGAAAATCTTCGAGCTCCTCGGCGGGCGTTCGCTTTCCGAAGCGGATTGGTTCCCTTGGCGAGCGCTTCCCGAATCTGATCGGCTCACCGCGAAACCTATTTTTACATTCTTGAAATGTTTGGTTGGGCTTATACCTCTTGGCTTCTCGCTGCTCCACATAGTTAGCCGGAATCTCGTATGGATAAGCCGCTGACTGAAATTGGGATGCATTAGGATCGGGTTGCAATTGAAAGGCTAGGGAATACGCTTTGTTGACTACCAATCGAAATCTCGTAGAACTCACCAGGAGGGTGAGAATGGCCAGGATGACAAAGGAAAGGAAGTGATTGGCGTTCATTCTTGTATGTTGACCCAAAACTTGTAACCTGGAATTGACAATTATTAGGGTATTAAAATCAAGACAAATAATATTCAAGGCAAATCGAAAAAATAATTTTCAGGATCGTCTAAAACCCGGCCGAATGCTTCTCGTCGACACAGTGAATCAGAAGATCGAGTTAGATGAAAATTTGAAGGAACGGATCGCGAATTCGCGCCCGCATAAACAGCTAACCGGGCCTCGGCTTGCGTTGGAACTGTTCCGAAAAGACTACGTGGCAAGTTTATTAGTTTGTGAATGAAGGGTGGAGTTCGGTGGACCAAGGCCCGGCGCCTCCCTCGGGAGATTCGCATCTCGTTAGGTTAAGCCGGCGCTCAAATCATAGACAGGCGCAAAGGGCCTGAAAGCCTTAACTTCCGTCTGCTGAACGCATGTTTTGCCCATAAGCTAGCCCGGGGCCCGTCAGCGCGTGTCCATGAAAAAGAAGTAAAAAAGGGGAATTAAACTGGAGTTTGCAGCTTTCTCACGGGGCTATCACCAACGAGTACTTGATCAAGAGGGAACTCGAAAAGTTGAAGATGCTAAAGGTAAATCATCAAAAATATCGGCTCCTCTAAACCTCATTTTTTAGATGACAAAGGACACGAATTTGGACTGCGACCGCCGTCTCGCCCTCTATGCTTACACCCACGACACGTTTGCCTTACTATTGGTGCCTATGATTAGGGAAAAGTTGGTTTTCAAAATGCTTTTCGTCGGGCTAGTTTAGCTTTTTGATTCTTTTCGCAACGGTTTTCATAGGTCTTCAATGGGTTTTTGTTGGGGCCCACACCTATGGAATCAGCCTGCCTTCCCCCTCCTCTCTTCCGGCCCCTAAAGCTAGAAATATTGGCAATGAAAAGCCGGAAATCCCCATCATTGTCCGCCAATGGAGGCTGGGTTTGGTGGTCAGGCGCTCGGGAGTTTTAGAGATTCTGTGGATAGACGTCGGCGTGAAAATCCCAGCCTTAAAACATAGCGTATGCTAAGCTTTGACTTGGGTGAGGGTGCGAGGGCGCAATCCGATTTTCTGATAGAGTAAACAATGTTGCGCAAGTGCGGGGCCAGAAGTAACTAGCCGCTGTTTATGAACGCTGGGATGCATTCGCTCCGAGAGCGTCGCATTGTTCTCAAAGATCAGCCAGAGTTTTTATCATTTACTAGCGATGAAACTGAACCGATCCGTAGGGTATTTTTTTGCCACGGTTCGAGCGGGCTGGCTAAAAAAAAAGTACGCAAAAGTCATTAAGTGACAACTCGGGAAGAAGCAAGCGAAAATTCGAGGTCTGCCCCCCATTTTCCTGGTCCACCAACTATTGCCGTAGCTGCGGGACCCAACGTCGGACCTCTAGCCCCAAAGCCCATCCCCCCTCAATACAACAAAAGGCATTAGCTCTAATGGCCCGTGCCGTCAGTCTTCCGATGATGAGGCCCTAACAAACCCCCGCATTCTTTGCCGAAATGTCGACTGAGCGCCCAACACTGCACTCCTTGGGGAACGCCTGGCTACTCTTTTTGGCCGATTCAGACACGAATGGATGAGGGTGATCGAAGCTGGCATTAAAACCACTCATATTGCGGGGGGTGGTAAGGTGTTCTTTGGTTTCTAGATTCCAGAAAATAAACAAAAAGGGTCAAAATTAGGTTGCGGGCATAGTATCGAAAAAATGGGACGCTCTCGACCAGGAACTGGTTCGACCCAAAAATACCATATGTAAGGGCTGTTCCAATTCGTGGGGTTTCACATATGAAGACCTTGGCTGGACGTCAAGACGAGACGATCGGCCATGTCGGTCGCCGGGGGCTACGGCACCGGAAAGCGCGTGAAATGCGATCTGCCATCCTTCGGATAGTGGCCCTCCACCATTCCCGAATTTGACTGAAATCCTTCACCTCCGCCCCGCGGGCAAACACCTGGGCAAGGGGGAGGAGGGTCTTGCATGGAAGCCAAAAATTTGCCTTCCTGCACAGAATCGAAAATCCGCCCCTCCGGGTTGATGGAAGAGCAATTTATGCCCTCCCCCATTAGTCTTTGGAAACTGGATTGGAGAAACCGGGGGCCGTGTATAGTTCTGTACTAAAAATCGAGGCTCAAAAATCTTTGAGAAAATCTATGTCCGGGCGAAGACATCTCGCCCTGCTGGGATGAATAATATTTTTCTTTTAGGAAAGAGGCTCTCGGCTCGATGGGAAATGATGCTGCATTGGCTTGCCTATCTGACTACAACCCCTTGCTGTTCGCTTACTTCCAACAGTTATTTGCACAGGTACATTCAATTAATACTCGCGCAAATCCCAGGTGGTTTGCCCAAAATTCGGATGTAAAAATATGGAAAAGGCGCATCATTAAGTAGAGCCCCGGGGGTATAAATGACGGGCGGCCTTCCCCGCTAAAAAGCAGCAATCGGAGCACTTCTACCCATTGCCCCGAGCTCCGGGAGCGCCGACGGAATAACATGACTAATGACCGTGGCTCTAGTGGCTGACCATAAAATAGAGGGGAAAACAGCTAACAAAAATTTGGCTTTGTGAAATCACGGAAGTGCCGTCGATTGGAGGGGCTTGATGAAGGCCCAATAGTCACGCACTGGGCGTCTTGACCAATTTCAGGCGGCGGCTCTTTTTTTACGTTGGGCCCTAGAGCTGAGGGTTAGCTGTGCGACTGCTTATTCGCAAAAACCGAGTGCGGCTAACCTGGCAAGAAAAAAAATTCATTGCCTTGGGGGGCCGCCCCACGGCCAGAATGATGCCAATTGGGAAGGTCTGGCGGCCCCGTTGAGAGCATTTGCGCGGTAAGATACTGACGTAACTCGTGGGTGTTAATTCCCAGATAAGGCCGGGCATGCGAAAATGTGAAAAATAATCATCTATCTTGCTTATCATCATTCTAGGGGTTTTTGGGAGCTAGTAGGCAACCATTAACGCAAAGCCAAGTAAATCTGTATTAATCGCTCAAATTTAAATTTGAATTCAGGTGACGAATCCACCAATTGACCCCTTCCGTGAACAAATCGTGATGTCCCTTCGTTGCCCAATTGGACCAGAAGGGAACATCCTGGAGCCTAGCGAGGAACTGGGTGGACGCATGATTCTCGACCAGCCAATCCTCTCACTCGTCGAGCTTGAGGCATGAGAGCTTATTCATATAGTTACGTATCAAAATTACAGGTCCTCAAGAGTACGATGTACAAAGGCTGGAAAACAAAGACTATCGACATCACATACCCAGCTCGATATGGTGTCAAAGGTACGTTATGCGAAGCCAAAAATATGAAACTGACGTTTGCGAAAAGTTACTATTATCCATTTGAACGCCTGCTTGCAAATCAACTTTGCGCCGGCAAATGAGTTTTTGGTTAACGACCACCTCTGTCTGTCGCCTTGGAGGGCATCTGTAGAATCGAAATTAAGAACATTAAGTAATTATGATTTCTAGGATTGGCCCCTGGACTTGACCGAATTTGCTGCGAGGCCTCGACGGCAGCCCTGGATGGTTATCAACTGATTGTCCTTTCTGACAGAAATGTAATTGCCGTTTTTAAGACCAAAAATATTTTCTAGGCAAGCCCCGACAATGTTCCCATCCCGTCATTGTTGGCTGTCGGCGCCATTCACCAGATGTTGGTCAGCCATCGACTGCGCATGAAGGTAGGCTAGCGCCCATTAAACTATGATTTTTATGGGTTTTAGGTTGCGCTAATCGTCGAAAGCGGCGATGCTCGAGTCGTTCATGACTTCTGCGTATTACTTGGATTCGGCGCTGATGCTATTTGCCCGTATATGGTATTTGAGACTTGCTTCCGTCTTCGTAACATGGGCCTGATCGATAAAGAGCTCAACGATGATATGGTACCTTTTTCCACCTGAAATATTCTATTCACGTCTTCAGGTTTTCGACGGATTCCGTCAGGCTGTTGAGCGCGGTATCTTCAAGGTGATGGCAAAGATGGGCATCTCGACCCTGCATTCGTATAAGGTGACCGGCGCCATTATTGCCTAACTAACTGTCGAACGATTTCAGCACGCTCAAATTTTTGAAATCGTCGGGCTGTCGCAAGAAGTTGTGGCCAAGTGCTTCAAAAATACTGTATCCCGCCTTGGAGGCGCCTCATTCGAAATCTTGGCATCGGAAGCGCTTAAACGTCATCATATGGCCTACCCAACCGCCTCACCAACATCTAATATGGGTATTTACCAAAAGCAATTATATTTTAATATCTGGATTTAGGAGACTCGGGTACGTTAATCTCGACCGGCACATATCACTGGAGGGCAGGCGGTGAGAAACACATCAATGAGCCACTGGCTGTTGCAAAGCTGCAGGTTTGGATTTGTCTAAGGCCCTAAAAAAAATCATAGGCGGCTGCTCGGGCAAATAACAGCAAGACTTTCCATGAATATTCGCAAGCCTCGAACTTGGCTCAGCGATGGTGCACTCTGCGAGGACAGCTCGAGATCAAAACGTCATCAAAGATCCAGATCTCCATCGACGAGGTGAGATCAGGAGACCCGGTTAATCCGCCCCTATAGGTTGAGCCAGCCTCTGAAATCGTGAAGCGCTTCGTAACTGGTGCTATGTCATTCGGATCAATCTCCTGGGAAGCCCATACAGCCTTGGCCGTCGCCATGAACAGCATTGGAGCCAAATCCAATACTGGAGAAGGAGGAGAGAAGCCTGAGAGGTTGGGTTTTGGTTGTTTGATTGAGTTATGTTTTTTAGGTATGCCAAAAATCAGCCGACCGATAACAACATTCGTTCTGCCATTAAACAAGTCGCTTCCGCCCGGTTTGGTGTAACATCTTCCTACTTGGCAAATGCCGACGAGATCCAGATTAAGATGGCTCAAGGTAGGCGAACATTTGTTGAGTACAGTATTTAACTGAAAACGCGCTTAGGTGCGAAGCCGGGCGAGGGAGGTGAACTACCTGGGCACAAAGTGACGCAGGATATCGCTGACACACGCAAATCAACTGCCGGCGTTGGGCTGATTTCCCCTCCACCCCATCACGATATCTACTCAATTGAAGATCTTGCGCAGGTATGTGCCATGCTATGAAATGGAAATCCTGTTTAGCTGATTTTCGACTTGAAATGCTCCAATCCGAAGGCCCGTGTGAGCGTGAAGTTAGTCAGTGAGGCAGGTGTTGGCATCGTTGCTGCCGGCGTGGTGAAGGGTAATGCGGACCACCTAACAATTTCCGGCCATGATGGTGGCACCGGCGCCTCAAGGTATTTGATATTTTAACCGCGCTTAACCCGCAGTTTAGCTGGACTGGAATCAAGCACGCGGGTCTGCCTTGGGAACTGGGCGTTTCGGAAACGCACCAGGTCTTGACGATGAACAACCTTCGATCGCGTGTCGTCGTGCAAGCGGATGGCCAGATTCGGACAGGTGCGTAGCTTTGTCGACTATGCAGAATAAGATCAAATTATGGATTAAGAATGAATTTTGCATAGGCATTGCCTCAGTAGTTAAGTACTATCCCATGATGAACTGTGCACTTAGTTAGTTAGGAAACTGCGAATGATGCCAATTAAAAATTGTTCAAATGTAGGTTATAACGAAACGAAAATTGGTTATATGTAAATCATGCCAAATGCAAATTACATCAAATTGAATTAATTCTATCAAAATAAGCTCGGTGAAATATTATTAATATGTCATATGTAGATTATGTCAAATGGTAATTAGCGAAAATAAACCTTCGCTTGAGATTCAATAAATAGCATAGCTTAAAATTTCCTTGTTAGGGCGTGATGTGATGGTGGCTGCTCTGCTTGGTGCTGATGAATTCGGAATGTCAACGGCTCCCCTGATCGTTTTGGGCTGCACAATGATGCGAAAGTGTCATTTGAACACTTGTCCAGTGGGAATTGCTACGCAAGACCCAGTACTGAGGGAAAAATTCGACGGCAAGCCCGAGCATGTCGTGAATTATATGTTCATGGTTGCCGAAGAAGTAAGTGCTTTCTTAAAGGGATCAGAAAGGCGCAGGAAAAATTAGCTTAAAACGAGTTTTAGTTCTAAAATTAGCATAAATCCTCTCTGCTCTCTCCTGCGTCGCCCCACTCTCGGCTCATTTTTTTGCATTAGCATTTCCGGTTGGCTCGTTGCCGATTATAGATGGGCCCTGATCTACTGAGCCTTCCTTATCCCTTTAAATGAACTATTCATGTATTGCAGGTTCGCTATTTCTTGGCCAAACTCGGACTGCGGACCCTTGACGAAGCGATTGGTCGGACCGACTTGCTGTACGCCAGCCCAAATCCCATCAACAAGGTTGAATCCCTGTTTTTTTAAGAAATTCTTTTTATACAGAAAGCTGATATGCTGGAATTTGCGACTATTCTCCGAAATGTGAATCTGCTTTTCCCACATCACTCGACGAAGGGTGGATCGATCAAACAGGCTAGACAACTTTTTTGTGATTGAAACAGTCTGTTTCAGCCGTTCGAAATTTCCGCTCTTGAAACAAAGATCATCGAACAATTGGATGGAGTCTTCAGCGATAAGGGTGCACATAAAGAGTTCAAGGACCTCACCATCACCAACAATGAGAGGGCATTCGGCACGCGGATCAGCTATGAGGTTACTACCGCCATGGCTTATACGAATGATTCCTTGTAGATTTCTAAGCGTTATGACGAGGCTGGATTGACGGGAAACCGATCCATCAAAATCGGCCTGTTTGGATCAGCCGGACAATCATTCTGTGCCTTTTTGGCGAAAGGCAAGGCAAAAACGTCTCCAAAAATTTTTATTTAGGGGTCACTGTCACCCTCGAAGGCGATGGCAACGATTATGTAGGCAAATGCCTCTCCGGTGGGCAGGTGGTCATCTACCCGCCGAAGAACGCACGTTTCTTATCTGAAGACAACAGTATCATCGGCAATGTGGCCTTGTACGGCGCCACTTCCGGTACTTGAGAACGCTCATCATCATCATCAACGAATTTTAGGCAGCGCTTACTTCCGAGGTGTTGCCGGCGAACGGTTCGCCGTGCGAAATTCTGGTGCGCATGCCGTGGTAGAAGCCATCGGAGATCATGGCTGTGAATATATGACTGGTGGCAGGTAGTTTGCGCTATTGCAGCATGGAACAACAACCAATTTAGGGTGATTGTTCTTGGATCAATTGGTCGAAACTTTGCTGCGGCGATGAGTGGAGGGCTTGCGTATCTTTTCCCATAGTAAGTGCTTAGAAGTGTACATTGCAAATTGCCTTTAGTGACGAGGATCAAACGCTGGAGAAAGTCAACATCGCAACTGTCTTCCTGGATAAACCGGATAAAGATGACTTTGAGTAGGCCTGTTGCGATTTTCGGTCAACAAGGATTTTTCAGCTACGTCCACGGCCAGATCTCCAAATTCGTCGAATTGACTGGATCAGAGTTCGGCCAAAGAATTTTGGACAACTGGACAGAGCTCCGCCGAAAGATTGTGAAGGTAAAACGCGCCATTTTGCATGTTCAACGTCGCCTAGGTCTTCCCCAAGGATTATAAGCGGGCTCTTGAGGAGCAAGAAGCAGCTAAGAAGCGCGCTGCCCAGGAACAAAAGGACGTCGAGGACAGGATGGAGGTAACTTTTAGTCCGTATCCAAAACGTGAAATTCAGCGGCTATCTGTCGGCAATGCGCGCCAACGCGCACTCTCCATGGATATGCAAATTCTGGTGGATAAGAATGATAGCAAAAAGAAGAAGCCCGCTTTGCCGAAGGTGAATTTTTGATGGACTTACTGTAGCCCCCAGCCGGAAGGACCAATTTTTTAAGAATGCCAATGGGAAGCCCTTGGTCCCGGCTATCATCCTCTAGTCTGAAATCGCAAAACAATATTTGAATTTTTAAGATTAAGTTATTGTTTAGCTGGTTTTCCGGGTTTGCTTGTTTGTGACATTACCATATCATTTTACATTATTTTGGGATAAGATTAAAACTCTTAAGGTCGTTTTGACGCTTCATCGAATGGCGTTAATTGTGCCAAATACAACAAAATGTTGGAAAGTAGCTTTCCACTCTCTCCTATGTGGAAATCAAGTTTCCTGAATTTTACTTTAGATCTTTTGGTTTGGCTTCGAATTCTTGAAAGTCTCGATTTTAAGAATCTCGACTTTTCCTAATCTCGGAATTTGTTTAGGCTAGAATGCAGGGCGTGGTCTTGCGCAAAAACCCGCAATTCTACGAATTCGAGATTGTGAAATTCGAGATTCTGAAAATTCGGGATTCTGTTTTTCAAGATTTTGACAATTTCCAAAAATTTTGATATCACATTATTTTGCACTAAAAATTCTCTGTTGGATACTCTATCGAATCCCGTCGACTGAGCCCGGAAAAATAGAAAAAATATCGAAAAATTTGGGATCTTCGGGCTACGAACACCTACATTTATTTTCAGGTTGTCCCCGGTAAGCGGAAGATGTCTCGGACCGTCCGACCGATCGACGTCGTGGGCTTCGAGAAGGAAATCGATATCCAAGAAACCAATCTTGACGGGGAAGAGGAGGAAGGCTCTGATGAGTCGAAATCTGATGACGAGGTTTGAAATACTTGCTGATCTTCTTGATTTTTAGGTCAACGACTTTGCCTTCAAGCAGACAACAGTCGATATTGAGAACATTGTTGCGCCCGGGAAAGCCAAGGAATTGGACGAGCCCTTGGACAAGCTGCGCGGCTTCGTCAAATACCAACGGCAGAAGAAGCTGTACAGAGACCCGGCGGTGCGTATCAACGACTGGGATGAAGTCGCCGACTACGAGGCCATTAGGTCCAATATCCGCGAACAGGCTGCGAGGTTGCAAGGATGCATTTGTTTATATATATATTTTTTAGATGTATGGATTGTGGAGTGCCTTTCTGTCAAGGTCATACTGGATGCCCGTTGGGAAATATCATTCCAAAGTGGAATGACTATGTCTTCAAGAAGAACTGGCGCCAAGCTCTTGAACAGCTCCTCCAGACGAACAATTTCCCCGAATTCACCGGCAGGGTCTGCCCAGCGCCGTGTGAGGTAAAATCTTTCGCCTTTTCCTGCCAAAATTATGTTTTAGGGCGCTTGTACTCTTGGCATCAGCTCCCCGGCTGTAACTATCAAGTCCATCGAATGTGCCATCATCGACTACGGATTTATGCAGAATTGGATCAAGCCAAACAAGCCCCAACTTAGCACTGGAAAGCGGATCGCGATCATCGGATCAGGACCATCTGGTAGGCTATGATATTTTGCTTTTTATCCGGGAATTTCCTTAGGTCTCGCGGCGGCAGCTCAATTGGTCAAGGTCGGGCATACTGTGGTTGTCTACGAGAGAAAGAATCGGATTGGTGGCCTACTTCGCTACGGTATCCCGACCATGAAGCTCGATAAATACGTGGTTGATCGCCGTGTCAAACTCATGGAAGACGAAGGAGTACGATTCATCACAAACACGGAGATTGGCAAAGATGTTCCGGCCGAGTTTCTTCTAAAGGTATCAATTAAATTCGCAACAGTGAAGTTGATTTGCAGGAAAACGACGCTATAATCCTATGTGTTGGTTCGACAATTCCGAGGGATTTGCCTGCTGAAGGACGTGATGCCAAGGGAATATATTTTGCCATGGAATTTCTGGAAAGGCAACAGAAGAAGCGTGCGGGAGACGAGGTATTTTTTCATACAACACTGGTATTCCGTTTTTTAGTTGCCATGGGAAGGAATGGACGTGAAGGATAAGAGGATTGTGGTGTTGGGTGGCGGTGATACCGCTACTGATTGCATTGGGACTTGCCTCAGAATGGTAAAGTGATTTGTTAAAAAACGTGTATTGACCTTTTCAGGGCGCCAAATCCGTGAGGGCCTTCGAGATCTTACCGCAACCCCAGGAGCTTCGCAAGCCAGAAAACCCGTGGCCAGAGTGGCCACTCATTTTCCGTATCGATTACGGTCATGATGAAGCGGCTATCAAAGCGGGCAAAGACCCCAGGACATACTCCGTCTCGACCAAGGTATCGTTGATCTTTAAAGACTTGACGCTTTCCGACATTTTGAAACTCATCCTCCCGTTTAGCGCTTCATTACTGAAGTCAACGCGAATGGTGTCAAGATTGTGACTGGATTGGAAGTGGTCGAGATCGAGTGGGAAAAGGATGCGAAGGGTGCTTGGAAAATGGTGGAAAAGCCCGAGACAATCTGGGTTGAGCCTGTGGACATGGTCATCCTCGCCATGGGCTTCACTGGCCCCGAGCAGGTATTGGGGAATCATGCGGAAAATCATTATATGGAAATTTCAGGTTATCGCTGACCAATTGAAGCTCAATTTGAAGCCGGCTCCAACTCTACGACCGAATGATGCCATCTACAAAACGAATGTGGAGAAGGTAGCTTTTTGGCATTCTACAGAGCTGGGTGGCGAAGAGACACATTTACTCTTTCGCTTACTAACTACATACTTTAGGTATTTGCTGCCGGTGATTGCCGTCGCGGTCAATCCCTTGTCGTCTGGGCCATCCACGAAGGGCGTCAAGCTGCTCGACAGGTTGACACATATCTAATGGGTACCACGAAATTGGCCGGACCCGGTGGCATCGTCACTGCCGACTTCAACATTGTCGAGGAATAGTCCCACATCTGCACATTTTTCATGATTATCCGCTTCAACGAGCCACTCCCCCATATGTTGACGGTTTTTTGAAATATCCCTCCAAAGCGGTTCTCCTTATCTTTGTCATCGGTTGGATGAACACGTAGTTTTGATAGACTTTTTTGTCTTAGTTGTCAATACTTTTCTCATATTCCGAATAAAAGGATGTCTTTGCAGTAATTTGCAAAACGAAAACGCAACAAACAGCTATTGGAAGGAAAAGCCCATCATGTCCGCGACCCGATTTCTAGCTCGCTTATTTAAAAGGGTGTGCCGGTTCAGGCATGCATCACGGCGCGATACCGGAGCCGTGATTGGTGTGTGTAAGCGGTGTCGTTGAACGAGCTTTCTGGCTGGTTGGTGGGTAGCAGTGCTTTGTAGATGCGTGGCGTGCGGTACTAAAATATTTAATGGGGCGAGACGATAAGGGGGAAGGGCCGGTGGGCCGTAGCACGGCTCAGCCCTGGACAGGGACACACCGGCTCCTCAAGAGAAGATGTGGCTCCTCGGCGTCGCACTATTCGTAGGTAATCGATTTTTGGATCTCTATTTGCATGCTAAAAATATGCTTTGTGAAGAATGACGGGCTTTACTTAAGCAACGAGTTTTGACTTTGAGGCCAAAGGGTACTTTTTGACGCGTGTTGTGTGCCTACTCAGCGTTTACTGCAAGATTCTTTCAAATTGTGATCGCGAATCGTCAACGACTGATTTTTTGCGCGTATGCTATACCGATTTTTACAACTGGAATCGGTCATTCATTCCTACAATTGATTGAATTTGCCGAAATTGGTCGGTATGCGCAATCGCATTCCATTCTTATTCCCGGGGCAAGGATAGGTCCTGATTTTACTAGATCTTCCTAGTTTTACATTCCTTTTCAGCGAGCGCCACGGCCCAATTCCGGCCGCCAGACTTCCAGGCTTGCGATGGTGTCCGGCTCAACTCGGTCCAAGCATCGTTCAATGACGTTCTCGGAATCAATCGTAAGCCGCTTACAATATTTTCGCGTTCACTAACCTCTTTTTTTGCTTTTCCTAGATAACACCCTTTGATTTTACTATGCCAAAAAATCTGCTCTTGGGGATTTTTACAGGCATCAAAATGTCGACTTTGTTTTCCACCTTCCCTCCCTTCAACCAGCCTTTATTTTCTTAAATATCCTTGAAACTGCCATTATTGCCCTGACTATTCCTTCGAGATGTTTTTCCAGCTAGCCTTGGCGTGAAGACATTTGATGCTTTGCGGCAAGCCGTCGAGAATATCTGGGCCTCGCAGGGAGCCCTTGGTCTTCAGACCGTTTGCTCGGCTTTCAAGTTGATCAAGGTCGGATTCGAGTGAGTAGATTTTGACGTTTGCGTACAATGTCCACTTGCGTATCAGTAACATCCAAGGCTACGAAGCTTGCTTTTTTGGACCGGCAGGACTTGTATCGACGGCAAACGGAACGTCTACTGGTATTACGATGGCTCAGGTACGGAAAAGCTTATTAAAAATGTGTAACGCGTAAATTAGCTTGATTTTGATACAGAGTAAAAATTAAAATGTTAATAGGATTAATATGGTTTAAAACAAGCTGAAGAAAAGCAGCTAGGCGCGCAAATCCTATTTTAATCATCCTTTCTTGCGCAGGTCGTCGGAAATGCATTCGGATATATCGGAAAACTATCGGAAAACTAATAAAAATAGATAAGAAATAAAATATATTGTTATATCCAACTGGACGAATTTAAAAATCGACGGAAAAAAATCTATGTTTAGGCCATCGGCTACCAGAAACTGATGAACCAGTTCGATTTTGCGTGCGGCGCCGGATTCTCCGGTATTTTTAACGTAAATTTTCTGAAGTTACGGATCATTTAGTGTTCGCCAATGTTGACGCATGCGCGGCCGGAATCTTCGCGACAAATTCGTCGAGGACCCGGTTGAACAACTGCCAATCGGACTTTTTGAATTCTGTGGCAAATGATCCATCAGATGCTTGCTCGTAAGTTAAAAGTATAGAAATTCTATCGTATTCTTCTAAAGATACGCCGACATCGCGGCCACATGCTACCGGAACACATTCTTCCCGTGTGGCGTGACAGCCGCATGGTGGGGATGTGAATATGAGAGGATGGGTACCGCCACCTATTACCCACAATGCACGCAGAACTTCTGTAACTGTAAGTATTTAACAAAAAGAAATTTCTGTAAAACCGGAAATCGCAGAAAATTGGATTATCTCGACCAAAACATTTTGATTTCTTCTAGTTAACCCGTGATCCACTCTGCTCATCGCGTCGACCTCATCAGCCGTTACTTGCCTATAAACTTTTTTGGCCTTTAATCAATAAATTTATCCCCCCGGAAAGTTACTGTCCTGCCCGGAAAGGAATGACACCACCACAAATCACCGTCACATTTCTGGGCAATCCCAAAAAAAAGTCAATAAAAAAACACTCGAAACGTGTTGGTGTGTGTAAAGGCCGCGGTATTAACTGGGCACGGGTAATTCGGCGACGTTTATGACCAGACGATAAGGGTTTGAGGCGCTGGGCGCGGCTCGAAATTCTACGCTTGTGTAACACACGGGGGTTTTTCAATGATTAGGAGTGGGAGTAAGGTGGGTGTGGATCTTTTGAAGGGTTCGGAATGGATGGGTTGATGAGTTAAAATCAAAGTGGGGGTCGCATGTGGAATGATGGGCTGCTGGAAGGGTTGAGCAGCTTGGAACGTAGCGTAGCGTACTAGAGGGCTTGGGTTACTATAGCACCGTTTATAAAGCATAATTTCAAAAAATCTCAGGTTCTGTCGCATCTAACGGTTTATTTGAAATTCCATTTCTTTATTCCTTTACCCTAGCCTACCCCGATTTTCACAGTAAAGCGCACGTTAGCTCACGCAAACAGCAAACATGTTCATAGGTGTATTCCTATCAATACCTGAACGCCCGTTTTAACCTAAAAGACATATGATACCCCCCGAACCCAAGGCCGCGCCCAAAACTTTCATATAACCTTTTTTACAACCAAGCGACGCCTGGACAGTGACAAGCCAGCACTTCGTCATCACTTCCCCCCGCCCCAAACCCTCTATATCGACTGCCGGCGTGGCCGAAGCTTTTTGAGATTGCCAACAAGACCTTTTAATGGGCAATTAGAGCTGAAGCCCTTCTCGAGGCCTTATCGGCGCCCTTCTCGGAGCCGTCGCACTGCCCTGCAAGAAGAGCTCGTAGACGCCATCTACACATGCTCTCACATATCTTCATCGTCGCCGTCGCCTTGGGTGAGTTGGGTTCAATTTGAGGTTGTCATCGAAAAGTTAGGCGGTGAAGTATCAGCTTGATGCCATATTTTTTGGTTGTGTACTCGACTGGAAGTTAAAGTAGCGGTGATTATGGTGAACTGTCAGCTTGCGAGGTATTGACGTCGCGATGAACACCGAGTTTCCGTTAGAGCTTTATTATTTACCAAAGTTTTTTTTTCTTGAAAAGTCGATTGTATATAGCTTTCATCGATCCACACCTATGATAAAAACCAATCTGGTATAAGACTGTGACTACTCCGCTGAGTGACTTTTTCTAAACTTTCCGCTGGACAGTATCATGGCAGTATTGGATATAAGCTCAATTTATTCGGCTTCTTATTGTTAGGTAATGATTTGCACTTATTCTGAAAATTATCAATTATTAAAAATAATACCGCTGGCGATTGGCAAACGTTATGTTGATAGAAAATTATTATATTCCTAAAAATATCAATTATTACAAATAATACAGCTGGCGATTGACAATTTTGAGAATTTCGTTATAACGTTATGTTGATAGAAAACTTATTATATTCCGAAAAATATATCCACTTTCGATTGGCCTGTTCCAGGCGGCACCTGGGCCCAGCGACAAGAAACCTGCGACGATGGACTCTATGCCACCTGCCAGAGCAACCTAAACACCGCCCTCAACATCAACATCAACCAGCCATGGCATGAACCATCCCGATACCGTGATGCTGTAAATAATTATTATCTTTAGCTAATCAATCTTATGTTCTATATGCATTCATACCCAACCCCAATTTGTAGGTGGAGGCCTTCTACCGCAGCGGCTTCAATGGAACCCGGAATGTTTGCAAGTCTGTGGAATAACCTTTTTGAGAAATCATTCTTCCAGGGCTTTCCGCGAATTCAAGACTTGCCTTGGCTTCAACTACCATGCTTGCACTGCTGCGGCGCATTTTATTCTTGCCAGCGCCGGTGTTGATGAGGGATACATTTTTGCGTCGATTTTCAACGAGATGCACTACATTTGCGGAGCCGGATTGCAGAGTGGGTTTTGACAAGTACTATTCGTGGTTCAAGATTATAAAACATCAAAAATTTCTGGATTGTTCTAAAATCAATTTCGAAAATAATATATTACTGATATGCAGTGATGTGTTATATCCAACTCGAAATTTATTAATGGCTTTATTTTTTGCCTCTGATCCAAGGATTAAAATGATTTTCTAGTCGCCGCCCTGAACGATAAATGCTTCCAAGATACCTGGACGAACTATGGTAGCTCGATTCGGGCATGCCGACAAGCCTGGGAATCACACGTCCGCGTCAACCCCGACGACGCTTGCTTGTAAGCCGTTTAGCTACAAACGACAATTTGTCATTCCTTAGCCAAGGCAACAATCTGCTAAAATGCAACGAAGACTACTTCGGAATGCAGTGCGGAAAGCAGAATCAGGTAGCTAACTGATGAATCGTGTTTGCAAGTCCGTTCAGGCGGCCCTTTTCTGGAGTTGCGAGTATGCTCGCGTTCAAATGTTCACCCGCTTCCCGCAATGTTCTCTTTCATGCTCAAGTGGGTTTTAATTGGCTACACTGAATCTTTTTTTCGCTTTAGTGCCGATCGTCGGTGGTATCTGAGGGCTGATGCACAATTTATTCTCGTAATCCTGTCACCATCTATCGATAAATTTTTGGAGTTTGTCGGGGTTTGAAAAACCGGATACGCTGTGTAAGTGCCAGCTCAAAATCGTGACAGCTTGCTTGAATCTGTTTTAATCGTCCCCAGGCTACGGCCCTTTGCGACTGCCCTGTTTCCCTGTTGTTTTATAGCATTCGGAATCGCGGCCCATCGAAACCGGAGAATCCGATTGTTTTACTATGGGAAAAGGGGATGATTTATTTTATGTATCTCTTTATGTTAGAAATCAAAGCCCAGAATTCCCTGGCCCATTGAAAGTTATATCGCCGTGCCGGCCAGCCAATCCGTCCCAGTTTAAAGCGCAATTTCCAGGGTTACGGTAGTGGATCGTGGGGGCCACTTGAGAGAAGCGGCCCCCATAGAGCTGTGAATGTGCGAAGACAGCTGTGGCTCGATCCCAGGCTCATTTCTAATAATGTGGTCACTTTGATTCGAATCGGGGGGAGGGCGGGTATTGGCTAAGCAAACCGTTAAATACCGTAGTCTTGGAATGAGGTAAGGTACGGAGATGGAAAGCGAGCGAGAGAGAGAGAGAGAGCGAGTGAGAGAGAAGAGAGAGGCGGAGAGAGCGCCAAATACAGAGATAGAGAGAGAGCGAGAAAAATAGAGAAAACGAGCCCCCCCCAGTTCGCAAGTCGAATTTTTAAGTTTAGGAGTGCCCAGGATTATAATTTTACCAAAAGAGACTATTTAAAAGTGTTTCCCATGCAAGACAAGCTTAAGTCTTTGCGGAAACTTTGGCTTCTTGCCATTTTCCAGCCAAAATTCGAATGCTGATTTTCTAGTGCCAAAAATCAAAAAATTTTAATGATCCCAAGATTTAAACATATCCGCGGCCTGTTCTGGTATATCGGTGGCTCAATTGAACAACTGCCTACCCTCACTCTTCCTGGAAGGGACACACTGATTAGGATGGACTAGTGGAGGGGGAAGACAACAGGCGATGGATGGGTCCCACCACGAAAAGACGATCAATTGAGATCGATGGCCCTCGGATGGCGGCCAGATGATAGGGATGGGCGTATTGAGGGGGGATATAGGGGGAGGACAAGTGTCCCGATTCGTCCACGACACGACAGCTGAACATTCACGCACAGGGCGATAATGACCCTCATATTGGGTTAAAACATGGCTCTTTGAAGGTGCTCGTAGGGTGCTTTCTTGCCAGAAAATCACAGCTATTGGTGTGTATACTATTCTTGATATACGAAAGCTATACCCTTTAGAACTACACAGAAATTTGAAGAGGCCAGGCTAACAATTTTCTGAGAATTGGGATTTCGGCGCGCTTGTTTTTTTTGGGTAATGGATTGCATCTAATCGATACAGAATAATGTTAGTAGACCATATTTTAAAATGTTTTCAATGCGTAGAGCTATAACTAGACGTTCGCGCTTAATAATTAAGTTTAATGATTTTTGAAATTCGGAAGCGCCCCTCCTTCGATTCACAAGTTTTTCCCCAAAATCCACTGACCGGACTACGGTACCCGGGCGAGTGGACCCATTTTGCGACCCATATGCCTCAAGACACCCCCTCTCTCTCCCCAAACAGAAGCTCAGGTTCAGTTACCCCACACAGAACCCATCAAAGCTCGATGCCGATGGGCACACGTGGGCCGAATTACCAACTTTGCTTTTGTGAGAGGAAGGCGCTTCTGCCCTCCCCCAGCGCGTCCATCTTCCCAGGAAGTTATGGGCCCACCTAGGCTTTCATCGCCCGGCTAATTTATGAGACAAAAGCACCAGGGGGAGGAGGAGGTGGATCACGAACACGATGTCCGATTGTGGGGTGGTAAGAATGATGGGCGAGAATTTCCATTGCGTGGGAATGTATGTCGGCGGATTGGCTTTGTGTTACTGAAAGGGCTTTCGGGGTTTTTATGGCTTGTTTTGGAGAGGTGTAAAAGATGAGAGTCTATGAAAGTCGGGTTTGGATGGGGCGTTAAAAACGTTCGAGAAGGGAATCTAAAAGTAATTTAAACGCTCTATTTTACAAAACTTCAAAAAATCAATTTTTTTTTGGTTTACCGCAATTTTCAAATCTTAAACATTTTATCCGAATCGTCGTCAAATTCTTCATGACTAAATTCTAAAACTATTTCAAAACTATCGCAGTTTCCTAAGCCTCGCCGACTCGCCATTCGCCCGGATTCGACAAATTGGAAATTGGTCCCTAGCCCCCCTACCCGCTCTCTATCTCTATCTCTCTCCCTCCCGCCTTCTCTCCCCCCATTGGGTAGAGCAATATTGCAAGGCAAATCCGTCTTAATGGCCCACATAGCGGCACGTCTCATTTCTCTCATTTCGTCTAATTAGTTTAGCGATTAACGAATGGGCCACGGCCAGACCTCGTCCTCCTCCTCCTCTTCCTCCCCAATTCCACCCCTCATTTGCCTTGTCAGGGGTACCGCGCAACGGATTCTAAACCACTTTTATACGTTACACTCAAATCCAATTTGTAATTCATCATCTGAGGGAGGACGTGCCTTTAAAACAATACAAATCAGCTCAAGAAACGCGAAAGATAATAGTTTGTATTCTGTCTGAATACTTTTAGGAGCAGAACGAACCAATAAAAGAGTTTCCTAAATAAGAAATCACAGGAAGAAAGAGAAAGTGTAAAGAAATGCACAGCGGAATGAGGGATATGACTTGCACTAGGATATTTATCAGGACCGGATGGATATAAGAAGCGATAGTGGAAATGGAAAGATGAAAGCGTACCCGTTTTGAATAATGGCGTGTGGATCACTGCTTTGGAATGGTTAAGGAAGACAGCTCGGGTAATTCTTTGCTGAAAAAGTTGGGTTGGCAAATTATATAGCATCAAAATGCATTAACCGTGACGTCATTCTCTTTGCAATTCTAATTTTTTATCATTTTGGTGGTAAGGACTCAAGGCTCACCTGAAGTCAAAGAAAAACTGTGTCGGCAGAGTTGGAAGCGCAAAAAAGTTGAACGGCATCATTGGTGGAAGGGATGGTAGTGAAATAGCCGTGGTTGTGGATTGTAGCGTGGGACGAGAGGACAGGGCGCCGAGTTGCGGAAATTTCGCTAACGGCTGCGAAAGGATCCACTTTTGCTTTGGCGAAGCCGCTCGGGAGGACTCTTTAAATAAAGTATAATTTTTAACGTGAAAATATTGCTTACCAGCACTTGGTGGTGTTTGTCGATCCTTTGTGTCACACCCCGGGTTGTGCTTTTTCCATTTGGTCCGCCGATTTTGGAACCAGATCTTTACCTAAGAAAATTAAAACAAATAAAAATAGAATGGCGCATACCTGAGTTTCGGTGAGATTCAACGAAATTGCCAGTTGAATCCTTTCCCGCACGCTGAGGTATCGTGTCGACTTAAATTTTTTCTCGAGCTCCATCAACTGCTCGTAGCTGAAGGCGGTTCGGGCTCGTCGAGCTTTTTCTCTTTTGTTTGGCTCGCTACGGGTTGGTGGGTAGAAGATGCCATGAACCGGACCGAGACTTTCCTGATCTAAATATAAAAATATACGATGATTTCGAATAGCAAACCTTCATTGGCTGACGCTCCGCTCTTCACATCACCCCTCAAAGTTTCTGACTTTTCCTGACATTTCTCGAACAATAGCTCGCAAACCGAAAATCCCTTCTTTTCCGAAGCCTGCATGCTGAAAAACTACTGTATTAGGGCGAGTATCGTTTACTAAATGAGACCAGAACCAACTAAGCGAAAGGTACAAATTCGGGGAAAAGTGCGTGGGCCGTTGAGACTAATTGCCAAGGCCGTGCTTGAACCGGCGGGACTTCAGGTGAAAATTGCGAAAGGATTAGTGCGAATTCTAATTGGCTGTGGTGCTAAAAATCCTAATATCGAGCCAGAGTGGTGCTAAATTGGATAAAATTAGTATAATTTTTGTATAGGTATACGGTATAGAGCTAGGCAGGGGGCTCGTTGCATTCAAGCATATCCGGCTTAAGATAAGAACTGAAGCACTACGATTAGAAAAAAATAAAGCCCAATAAAAGCATTTTCGGCCTCTGCAAGCTGTGAGAATAAATTGCGGGCCCCAGGCCTTTCTATATGGGTAAAGCGGAGAACAGTTCCGATTGGCGTTTCTCGAGCTCCGCCCCTTTCCATTGAGAGGCCCATCCATTGCAGCTTCTTCTCCTTCTTGTCTCTCCACCTCCTCGTCCTCTCATCCACCCCACCCAGTTGGACCCATATTTCAGCAAATGGCCACTGAGAGCTGTCACTGAGAGAGATTCATGTTGATTTGTGACAACAGTGAGATGTGTGAATGGTTGCCGGTGATTGGCCGCCAGGGGAAGGGGGAAGCATCAAATCAAACAAGGTTTTTTTGTGAGTAGAAGTTTGGAATGGTTGTTGTAATCCAATGAATACAATGGAATCTGATGCTTCGATCCTTCTAAAGGTGGGCCATTTGGTTTGCCACGGATTCTCCTCGGGCATGTTGCGTTGCGCGCTGCGGGATCACGGAGTCACATCTTGACTTCCTTTTAGAAAGATTCCAGTTTTTCCGCCCTGGCACCCTACAGTTTTCCTGTTACAAGGAAAAAAACGGACAGTTTCCTTCTGCCTTAGAAATTTAATACTGAAACTTCTTAACTAGGATCTTTTTTTATCGATAAACAAGCTTTAATACCGCTGCGTTCGACGCTATCCATCCATTGCTAGCATTATTTTAACAATCTTCTAGAAACCACCAGTGCTATTAACATGCGGGTTCCAGGAGGATACTTTGGTGGATTTCCGGATCCTCTTTCAGATGAACTGACTCTTTTTCTCGGTGTTACTGCTCTTTTTAGGATCATAGGCTGGGCTAATTTCCTTGATAAACTCCATTTTCATGAAGAAGGAGATCTTGTCCAGAACGAGAACTGGAAAACCAGAATTGCTACCAACGAGTATCAGTAATGAATCTGTTAAGTGAGAAAATACGCTTATCGGGGTGACTTGTATACAGAAACAGCCACATCGAAACGCTTTATCTCGCTTTTTCATACCCTAAGCCACAATAATTAATTAAATGGTAAGTTCTGGTAGGTTGGAGGCTAGCCAAGAAATTGTTCTCCATTCAGAAGTCTAGGAGCTGCTCAAGGCTTGGCATTCAGCTATTGACGTCACTTCACCTGCCGATGCGGATGTATACGGCGCGCTGTCTTTATTTTGAACACGTGAAAACGGTTCTGAAATTTGTGTGATGATGATAGCTGGCGACTAGAGAAGAATCTGGGTAAATTCTTATAACGTCAGTTTAAAACGGCCAAAAGCTTTTAAGAAAACGCAAAACCAGATCACAGCGATCTATTACTTGACAAAAATAATGAAAATTACCATGAATCGGCTTTTGGAGCCCCTAAAGGAATTCTTTGAAAGGCCCTAACTAAATTTACTATTAATCTCAGGCTACTGTACACAAAATCCAAAATATACGTGACTTCTTCTTCGGGTCACGCTAGCGTTTTCGAAAATCCACCAGGAATGGTAATAATGATGCTAATTTTCGCACTATATTCCCAGTTTTTACTTTCTACTCTCAGGTTTTTGAATTTAAATCGTTATTATTTTTTTCGAAAGCTTTTTCATTTAGGGATCGATTTGAGTGTTTATCCTTCCATTAGTGCAGCAATTCTCTTTCCCGGTGTACCTACCGCGTGGGTCCCGCAACGCCCCCCTGTACCCGGTGGCCGCTAAAAACGTCGTAAAGCGGAACCTCGTCCTCACCGGGGAACCTTGAGTGGCCAAGGGTCTGTTGGTTATCTATGCCGTTCCTCTTGTATTATTTAAGAACAAAAAAAACGTATTTAGGATGCTGAGCCGAGCCCTGCTCACTGCGTCTCGCAGTTCGACACTGGCGGTTCGTGGGTTGGCCGCTACAGCTGCCCCGGAGCCGGTTATTGAGGGTGTCCACAAACTGAAGGTGTGAAAATGTGTCTCTTGTCTTCTGTTGCGTTTGTCCATCTGCCGAGTATTTGAGGGAATTATGTCGTGGTTATATGCAAGTTTTGTGGGATTTGGGTTGCCTTTAAACAGCTGGCACTCTCATATCAGGTTAACCCAACGGAATTTTATATTTTTTTTTGGTTTACGGCTATAGTTTAAGCATAACGTATAATTTAATAGACGGACCATTCAAATGTGTTCATTTTAGGTAACAACCATTCCTGGTGACGGTGTCGGCCCGGAATTGATCTATGTCGTCCAGGATATTGTCAAGAACACGGGAATCCCGATCGAATTTGAAGGTTTGTGCTAAAAATGAAGAAGATACCCATAATTGCCAACTTTTAAAACGCGCATTTTTTAGAGCTTTTCCTGTCTGAGGTCCACTGGTCTCGATCCGAATCGTTGGAGTCGGCTGTGGAAGCTATTCGCCGAAACAACAATGTTGCCCTGAAGGGTTTGCGAAAATCTTACAAATTCATAACTACGCTTTTATAGGAGCGATCCAGGAGGCTACTATGCTTCACACTGAGGGTGACATCCAGGGCTTGAACATGCGCCTCCGAAAGAAGCTGGATCTTTTTGCCAATGTCTGCCACATTAAGGTGCGCAAATTTTTACGAATCCGAAATGAATTGAAGCTTTTACAATTCTTTGCACAAAATATCGTTTTTTCAGACGATTCCCGGTATCAAGACCCGCCACGGCAAAGATCTCGACTTTGTGATCATCCGCGAACAGACCGAAGGGGAATACAGCGCCCTTGAGCACGAACTTGTCCCTGGTAAGATAAACTATAAATTGCTTAATTAGAATATCTAGGCGTCATTGAGTGCCTCAAAATCTCCACCCGACCGAAAATCGAACGAATCGCCAAGTTTGCATTTGACTACGCCACAAAGCACGGCAGGAAGAAGGTGAGGCTCAATTGCCATTGAGTTTAGCATAAAAAACAACCCAATTATAAAAAGAGATTCATAAATATTTAGGTTACCGCCGTCCACAAGGCCAACATCATGAAACTGGGAGACGGATTGTTCCTCAGGATTTGCAATGAGGTGCTTGGACTAAGAAAAATAAAAATGGACGGAATTTAGGTCGCGAAGCTTTACCCGCGCATCGAGTTCGAGTCGATGATCATCGATAACACTTGCATGCAACTTGTCAGCAAACCCGAACAGTTTGACGTGATGGTGATGCCGAACCTTTATGGAAACATCATCGATAACCTGGCAGCTGGGTGGGTCAGACATGCTCTGAGGAGCTATATGGTTAGGATCTTTGATGATTTATGATTTCAGACTTGTCGGAGGTGCTGGTGTTGTCCCAGCCGAGTCGGTCGGTTCTGATTATGTGATCTTCGAGCCTGGAAGCCGGCACTCCTTCCAAGCGGCTTTCGGACGGTAGGTTAAAAGTTCAAGGAGTAATTGTGCTTTAGGCAAATTGCCAACCCGACTGCTATGATCCTATGCTTTGCCAATATGCTCAAACACCTCCATCTCGATATTTACGGTAGGTATCTAGTTTGATTTATGAAAATCAATACCGCTAGATCATTTGATTTCAAATCTTTCGCCATAAATACGTAGAACATTTTCATTTTCTAGGAGATGCATTGACGAAATCCGTCCTCGACGTCATCAAGGAGGGCAAAGTTCGCACACAAGACCTCGGAGGGTAAGTCACCCTTAAACACAAAAATCCGTACCATTCCAGCTATGCCAAGACCATGGAATTCGCCGACGCCGTCATCACCAAGTTCAAGATCTAAATCCTCCCAGATATCTGCAATATCTCATAGTACTTTAAAGCGCTAGGACTAGAATGCCTTAGAGCTCTCCTCTTTTTTACACTCGCTTCTACACATAATACTTATTCACCCACATTACACGTGTCTTATCTCCCATTTTTTTTGTGTGTATTCTTGTCGGATCCGTGCCTTAGTCCGCGCCAACAACTTCCCATAGCAATATGCGTCATCAGAGTGCCTTATAGAATTCTACTCAGCCCACCACATGTAAACCTGCCCCCAATACTACGAAGTTCTATCTGTTTTTGCTCAATAAATGGTCAGTACACAAGCGTTGTTGATCTTGCAATGTGTTTCGTAGACACTAATTATTAAATTGGAAAAAGACTATTTTAATACGTAAAGGTATCTTTAGTGGATGAGCGAATCGGATGCGGAACACTTTGAAGATGCATGTTCCGAGTTACCAGAGCCGGAAGCAATTTTTAGGGTTTTTAATTTCATAGCGAATTTGTATATCGGTGTATAGGAACCAAGACGTCCGGTGGGATTTCACGATTCTTTCCAACCGCTCTCAGATACGCCCACTACTTCATATGCCTTCGAACAGGTTGGGTGTTTTTTTTTTGTTGGCAGGTGAAATGAGGTCCGGGATCCGGGGCATGGTTTTTGTCTTGTCTTGTCTAGGGGTAAGGCCTATATCGTTATCGATTTGAAAAAATGCTTTAGCCAACATGTTAAATTTTACATATTTAGAAAGCATGGTATTACAGGCATCCCATCAACAACCATCAAATCGTCGAGATCGATTGCGCGGACTGCGCAAGCAGATGAAAGAAGAGTTTGGCCATCGAGAAGGAGGTTTTGCTGGTGACGGAGATACCCTCAGCTTACTCAGTGAAAATACTAGTTTACACTCTTGGCATAAGTAAGTTTCTAAATATATAAATATACCAAATTCCTTAGAAAAGTGTTGGCTGGCGCTTCAACGGTTGTGCATCCAATCGATACAGCTTCCACCTGTGCTATGAGTACTCGTGGAAGTGTTCAGATGGAATCTCCGCTGTTACAATCTCCATACGGGTTTGTAGTTATCTAACATTATACAGATAAAATGGTTATCAAAATTGATTACGATTCCAGGAATCCAAACAGATCTACGAGCAGTAGTGTCACCTCACCAGTAACTTCTCCATCTGGACCTCCGCCTCGAAATCCTCCACCGCCCATACCTAATCGGCATAAAATTGAGGTACATAACTTTCTCAATTCGACAAGAAAATTATTGGATTTTGTGTTTGGCTCATTATAAATTTAGGTAAAAAGCCCAACCGCAGTCCCACCACCACTACCACCTCGAAATCCCAGTATGACCCTTCCATCTCCCGTCTTGGAATACCCTGCCGTTCAAGTCCCACCTCCACAACCTATAATAATCGAAAAACAAAGGTACGATTATAATAAAAAATCTAAAAACATAGCATAGCTTTAGCCACTCAACATCAGCCGAGCCAGCCTCTGTTAGTAGAAGTGGATCCGAAGAAACCGCCGAACCAAAACTTTCCGTCACTTCTATGCCTACCAATCAGAGTATCTCAAAATTCACAAAAAAATATATGTTGTCTTTAGATGGCAACAACAACAGTACACCGACCACAAATGGCGACAACGTGGTAATGCCAACAACCTTGTCTGGAGGCCGTAGAAGGGGACATGCCAAGACGAACTCACTGGATCGTGGCTTAACGCTGGCCAAATCTTTGAAAGTTTGGAAGGTATAAACTGCACAGAAATTGTTTATGCTAAATTATAGGCTAGCCCCTTCCCTCCGCCTTCCCAAAAATCAAATTCGCTGACGCGCGGAACTGAACCACCGAATGGCGAGGAAGAAGAACGAAATCAAGAAGCGGAAGGTGTCATCTCAGAATTGACCACACAGCTGATGTCGGAACATAATTCGGAATGCACCATTGCATCGGTTAGTTCATTCAGCATTTCGTAAAATATCCTTTAGACCAATTCCTCTAACGATCAAGTGAATGGCGGTGAAGTTGAAGAACCACAGATGCAACTTCATCTTGCGCCAGAACTCGAGACGCCCGTTCAAAGAAGAATTTTATCTGGAAGGTAAGCAAAAAATCAATACGCAACCTCCATTCAGCCGGGAAACCCGAAAGTCCGAGACGATATTTGAAGAAAATGAGAGCGAAGCATCACCTGGGCATATCGCGAAAGCGAACCGTTTTGATAGCCTACACATCGCTGTGGTAATAATGCCATCATTTTATGCTTACTTATTATAAATTAGGAAAGCACGTCAGCTCAAAATCGCGCGTCTACCTACGATCGCCTTTCACCTTCAACTAGCATGCCGGTAAGAAGAAACCCAAAAGCTAAATATGAAAACAAATAGGTAATCGACCCAATTACCCGGGATGTCGAAAGACGAATGAGTATGAAATCGCACGGACAATCCAGGTCAGATACCTTGGGGTAGGCATATACCCCCATGAAAACGAACAACCATAATTTCAGCCCAATCGAAGATGATGAACAATCCGAACAATTGTCGCCTTCAACAAAACTGGGATATGCCAAGAGTCTCGTCAAAAGCTATGCAACATCATGGTTGACTGGGGTTGTTGATAAGTAAGTTTTTCAACGCAAAAAAAAGTATAGCAATCGTTCAGGGCTTTGCATTCTTGGAAGCCGCAACCAGCTTTGAAGACTGATGCCGAAGATACGGGAGATGAAAGCGAGGAACAGGGGGATCCATCGCAAACGGATGGTCATTCGGTTAGAGGTTCTAATACAGTACCTCTGGTTAGACCGAAAAACTCGAAAAAGGGACCCTACGACTTTGAACACACCAAGGTCGTCCAGGTTAGAAGACCATCAATTTTTCAATTACTTTGTCTTTAGGAAATCAAGGCCGAACACACTGGTGCCGTTTGGGTTGTACGATTTTCTGTTTGTGGCAGACTGATGGCAACTGCTGGCCAGGTAAACAAATATATTTTGCGCTGACTTGTTTTAGGATACGATCATCCGGATCTGGGTGGCAAAAGCCCATGTCCGTCATTTTGAGGCGCTGAGAGATCGCTATATGAAACGAGCTGATTGCCCACCACAAGACGTTAGAAAAACTTTAATTTCTAAATACCGTATTTTTAGATGTTCGAACGTGCCATGTCGGATTCTGAAGCCTTCCGCGCGCCGTCTTCCGTTGACGAGAGTGACCACACTACCTCCAACCCATCAGAAGAAGAGGGAAAAGGACCAATCGTGTTTATGCCAAACCCATTCGTCGTCCTAAAGGTATTCATTACTAAAAAGGTTAGCCAAAAATCCACAATTTGCAGAGTCACACTGCCGATGTTCTGGACTTGTCTTGGTCAAAGAACAATTTCATTTTGTCATCCGGAATGGACCGAACGGTCAAGCTTTGGCACATCACGAGAGCAGAATGCCTCTGTTCGTTTCAACACGTCGATTTTGTCACTTGCGTTGCATTCCTGCCGAAAGACGATCGTTATTTCTTGTCGGGATCGTTGGATGGGAAATTGCGACTTTGGCACATCCCTGAAAAGAGGGTTGCTGTCTGGAATGAGACCCAGGTTAGGCAAAAAATATATGCTAGAAAAACAAATTTCCAGGTTAAATTCATCACCGCGCTGGCGTTTGCTAAAAATGGGAAATTCGCAGTTGTTGGAACTTATAACGGTCGGTGCTACTTCTACACGGCTGATGTAAGCTTTTTTGGAAGTTTCGCAAGATTATTTCTTTCAGCAATTGAAATATCATACGGTAGTCGATGCTCGATCGTCTCGAGGTAAAAACGCACGTGGTCATAAAGTGACTGGATTGGCGGTACATGGCGATAAATTATTGGTGAGTTAAGAAGCACCAACACTAACAAATTTGCTCAGGTGACTTCGAACGACTCCCGGATCCGTATGTATGATGTTCGTGACATGTCATTGACTTGTAAATTCATCGGAGCTCAAAATGAGCACTCACAAATTCGAGCCTCATTCTCCCCCGATGGAAAGCACGTGATTTGTGGATCTGAGGACAAGTAAGAAAACCCTAAAAAGTTTATAATAAAATTTTCAGGTATGTGTATCTGTGGCGCACCAATGATGTCACTTCCTCACTATCGGTCCGGAAAGATCGGAACAAGATGTGGGAACGTGTGCGAACCCACGCGGCTGCTGTCAGCACCGCTGTCTTCGCTCCAAAACCCCTTGATTTGCTTGGCATTAAAAATGGTCACAAGCCAAGCCAATCATCTAACGACAAAGATAAGGAAAAGGAAAAGCGACCCTTGGATGATGGTTTGTTCAAAATAAAATAACAAATGCACTTTTTTAGATGTGCTTGTCTCTGCCGACCTCAACGGTTGCATAAAAATCATGGTTTGCAAAACAAAGCCCATCCAACATGCCTCTTCTTCTGGTTTCTTCAATGGGACTGTCTTGCCCTAATTGTATATCCCTCAACATTGTGATAATTCTCAACCGCCTTCCTGTGGCAATAATAGTTACCCAGCATTCCGGCCCAAGCTTATTTATTTGTTCTTCTTAAATATTGCCGAAATATTATTTATTTTCCATTGTATCTCGAATTGGCAGCTCCCCTGGCATGGCCGAGCGCTCCCATAGGGCGACTCGGCCACCGTACCCACCCGGCGGGACATCGATTTTCTGGTTTTTGGTCTTCTCTCCCTTGCGAGTAGCCCTTCACCCCCACACAGTTTTCGGTTGTTAATATTTTCCCTACATCAGTGCAGCTTTCCACCCACCCCATTACTTACGAGTGCCTAGCTAAAATTACTACTGTACCCTATTTTCGCGATTTTTAAGGCTTAGAGCAAACTTCAGAAACTCTGGTCCCGGTTGTAGTGCCTTTTGTTCTAAAATATTGCCATAATAATAAAGAACTATTGGTTTTAAGGAAGGCCCCGCAAAAGCACATTGAATATTCGCAAATCAACATCATATGATATCATTCACTGCATTTTTATTTTAATTCTGCCTTAAAAATTGCAGCTCATTTCAAGTTTTCAGATGCGTTGGGTTGCTGGACTTCTGGCACTAGTGCTAGGTGAGTATAGAGAAATTCTGTTGCCCTAAAATATATCAAATATAATTATTTACTGTTCTTTCCTTAAAAAAGTGATTTTTAGCCTGTTCGGCATCGACAATCCGGTTCACGGCAGTGCCACGCTCGGTCCAACTGCCGGAACAAGGATCGATCCTTTCCTCTGAAATCCCAACCCTCAACGAGCAGCTTCTTGGACTTTCCACGAAGGTTTGTATATTGAATTTAATACTTGATTTTTGCAGATAAAGATAGCGTTTACAAGTGATTTTGTTTCAGCCCGTATCGACTCTCCCAGTGACTACATCACTCTTCGCACCCACTCGGGCTTTGGCTATCGTAAATGTCGCCGATCTCGACCTGATCAACGCCAAGGGACCGAGCTATTCCGTTGAAGTTGTAAGTCTACTATCTCTCTTGCAAGCCATAAATAAATTACAGGACGGTTACAACTACGAGTCGCTTGAGCAGGCCCTTGCTCTGACTTTCGGCGCTGACCGTGAATCTGTTCAGATCAACAAGGTATGCGGAACTTCGAACTTTCAGAATATTACGCTTTTTAGGATGGTGCCACTGGCTCACAGATGGCCCAAGAAATCACCAGCGCCAAGGTTGATGACGCTCAGGTGAAGACCAAGTCTGAGCCCCTTCGCGATGAGCTCCTCGAAGTCTACAAGCTTGTCGCTGCCCTCAAGTCCCAAGGGGCAAAGTTGACCAAGGTAAGCATTTTCAGTGATACTTGGTCATTGGGAAAAGCATAGCAACGTACATTGCATGAAAAACCTTTTTTTTCAGTCGAACTCCCCTGACATCTACCAAATTACTATCACTGGTCTGTCGAACCTTGTCGATAGTGCTGATCGCAATGCCGCCATTGTTGAGGTTCAGAATGCCGTCAAGGCCTTAACCGATGCCATGGTTGAGGTAATCAACTCTTTGGAAACGGGTAATCCGTTTTCCTTGCAGGTTTACGGAGGTCAAGCTGTCGTGGAGGTGATCGCCAACTCTACTCCCATCCAAGAGAAGAGCAGCGCTTCAGCCCACAATATTGTTAAGCGTGCGGTAAGGGAAATGTTTTAAGCTTTAGGACTGAGGATTTCTAGGTCGGTGATGATCCGAAGGAGAAGGATCCGTTTACGCTACTGCGTCAGCAATACAATGTCTCTGTGGCGGTGAGCAGCGATTATGCCGCTATTTTCGCGATTTTCGCCGGTGAGTAGACGTCGTAAACTCTGAAAACTATTATTTCAGGAATCTCGATCTTCCTCGCTCTCTTCGTACTTTACATCGCTGTTGGTATCTGGAATATGGACCCAGGCAGAGACTCGATCATCTATAGGATGACTACCACCAGAATGAAGAAGGATTAGGTTGTGCTGTGCTAAAATATGAATGCCGGTATGTATCTTTTGCTACTTTCTCCTCTATTTCCTGCGTCCTCTATCTTCACTTGCCATTCCAGCCCAGTCATTGTATACTCTATTCCTACTACGCGTTGTGATACGACATTAGAGATCTAGTGAAGATAAATATATATTTTATTAGGTATATCACATGTTTGTACATCAGTACTCTTGCTCTAGCCAGCTTTCCTGCGTGAAATTTTCGGTTATATACCGGCCGAAGGTATCGCTGGAAAGTGGTTTCCGCGCTGGGGATATTGCCTGAAAATTTGTCAGAGTCATAACCTAATCAGAAAAATTACCATTGGTATTCTTTCATCAAATAACGATGGTGAAGCCAATATTAATAATGCAGCGGCGGCCAAATTAGCTATTGTATAAATAATTAATAATATCCGATCCATCACATCGGCTACATAAGACCAATCAGAAGAAATCTAAAGAAACTGCAAAAACTATAGGTCTTCCACCTGTTCCTCTTTTTTCTTCGCTCGAAAATGGTCAGCTATAAAGGCAACGTTATCAATCATCCGTCGAATAAGATCCGGATGCATACCCCTCAATTGGGCTAATTGCGATAGCCGCATTTCACCATCTGAATCGTTAGACGTACGGATTTTTGAGGAACAAAACCTTGAGGGATGGCGAGGAAATAAGGAGATGGTCTGCGAGATCCATCAAAAATACCTTGCTGTATGTCGCTCGTCGAGCTACCGTCATCACTCTGGCCCTCATCACTTGGAGGTTTTATCCAGAGGTATCTACAACATATCAACGAACTTGAGACTGATTTTACCGAGGCAACGATTTAACAAAAATAGCTCGTATCCACTGGGGCATCGGATGCTGGGAGCCATCCCTTAAAATCCGTTTTGATATTATAATTACCTCACCTCCTAAAATAATTGATGGAGATCACCGAAAATACGATGGAAAAGGCTACATTGAACAACGTCCATAGTAAATATTTGCCTATTAAAGGTATCACAAGGGAGGTCGGTGGAAGAATTTCGTTGAGGACCTAAAACTTGTAGTCTAGTAAGCTGTGCTCCAAAACCTTACCAAATAATACACAGTCAAAGCGACAAGAATCGAGATCGTGAACGTCATTTTGTGCTCAATTGGAGGAATGTAGAAAACGAATAGTGTAAGAATTGCTAAAGCGACGATCTTTCCATGAAGAATTTTGAACTTACAGATCATCATGCTTGGAATCACCAGATTAATAGTATAAAACAACGTCTTCCTTCTTAGTTCTAATTTGAATGTGACGTCAATGTAACTTTCGTAGCCACAACAACCAGGATACATTTGAACGTTTCGTTCAGAAATCAACGACATTAAATCCCATTCTTCACTTCTGAAATCTGGCTCGATCATTTAAGACCATTATGACGACCTGTAATAAGAAGATAAATCCATTCCGATTGCCATATAATGATAAAGTTCATTATTGAAATTATATCTAGCTTCAATAGGAGCTTCTCCGTTCTAAAAACTTTATTCTAAACCTGTAAGAATACATACAGGTAATTGTCGGACATCCAGTTGAAGACCAGTGTATGTCCAGCCACCAAATTTCATTGTACAATCTGATAAACGTGAATAACAAATTGTTAATATATTCCTTACTTTGCTTATCATAAGGGAAAGTATTCAATATTGATCTAAATTTTGATTCTGTTACTGTCTTAACCAGATATACTTACACTACAAAAACTCTTATAAATACTCGGCGGTTTCCAGATGACCAGTCCGTTGTAATAAACAAGAGCATCGCTCATGATTGTTATGTGAGGTTCTCCATCGGCACTAAAGATCGGTTTCGAAGATGATGTAAAGCATACTTGTTATACAAAACAATATCTGGGGTCCAGATTTGATCGGAAGGGACATGGAGTTTACGTAGCCCATTCCATTTCACGGGATCCCATGATAATCTGTAGTCAAACCATTGCATCTCGAGCCAGAGGTTTGTGGTAAGGACTTGACTGACTTCATCCTGAAAAGAATAGGACATTCTACTAGTTATACAGATAGTTGATGTATGTGGGAACTTGTAAACTTTTATCACCGTACGGTTTTGATAGAATCGAATGTCAAGGGCTATGATGTGTCATTAGGTGTGTAATGCTCTTGAGATAACTGCACAACCTATCAGCGTGTGAAATATCAGCTCTTTCGTTATTAAATTTGGGTGTTTCTTCTTTCACCCACAGAACATATGATCCGGACGGATTCCCGTGTGCCGCTCATATGTTCAAGCTATCACTCTCGTCTGCCCCAGTTCGGGAGCAGGTCTTTTTTGGATTAGTGAATGCAGTTTTTCCCCGGAGTGAAATTAACGGGTTCCCGGCCGCCCCACCCTTTATAAGACAACGGGTCTGGCTCAGGCGTTTCTTTGGCTGGTGATCAGGTTCTTCAATTTGCAGAGTGCTAATGCGCCTTTACCGTATCATCAAATCTTAGAAAATGTCTCTAACTTCCCTATTTTTTGCGTGATACCTTATTAAAAAGCTCCGTTTTCCAGAATGGGCTCCGATTACGATACATTCCGCCGGTTAGCCATCGGCTCTTGCCTAACTTCCGGATTGGCTATTGTGATCTTAGCGGTTGCTGCCCCTACCCTCTATAACCATTCGATGACCGACTATTACAATATCGAATCCAGAGCCCTGGTCTACAAGGTGTTGATACAGAACAATGGTAACCTCTCCGAATTCAGGACCAAACCAATCGATTATGGGAAGAGATGCAGTCGCTAGGCCAAGATGGAGCGAGAACTAATGGCATTAAGCTACCCATATTTTCACTCGCCGCCGTCGTGCCTCGTGGGCTGGAGGACCTGTTTGTGAGGTAAGATCGGACAAGTTTCGTAAAAGTCAATTTTTAGGGTTGTACGCAACTCAGCTGCCCACAAGGACTCCCCGGTCAGCCAGGAGACTCTGGAGATGATGGTATGCCTGGTATGCCAGGAAATCCTGGAACTGCTGGCGATGATGGTATGGATGTGGAACTGTCACCAGAAGATGAGATGCCGTGCACCATTTGTCCGGGAGGACCGCCTGGACCACGAGGCCCTCAAGGCAAGTAATAGGGGGGAATCGATTGACCGTTTTGGAAGCTTTATCTTGCGAAGATCTGCGCCCATTACGATCCGTCTACTTTCTAGGTGAACGCGGTCAGCCTGGGTACCCAGGAATGCCAGGCAATGAGGGAGAAATGGGCAATCAGGGGGTGGATGGGATGGCCGGGCCACCCGGAAATCATGGAAAGTCCGGGAAAAAAGGGACCCAGGGTCCACCTGGCAATCCTGGCAAAACGGTCATCGCTGGAGTCGGCATCAAAGGGCCCAAGGGCCCGCCTGGGCCACAGGGACCGAAAGGAAAGCAAGGAACGACAGGACGGGCTGCAAAAGAAGCTGGAAATCCCGGTAAGTAACGGTCATTGAAATGAAGGATTATGAGGTCCGCGAGGTCTTACTTTAATGTGAATTTTAGGAAGCCCCGGTGAACCCGGTGAAGCTGGACCCCAAGGAGTTGTTGGAAAAATGGGAGAAGAAGGTCCCTACGGACCGCCCGGAGATCCTGGAATGCCTGCATCATATTGTCCTAGCGACTGTGGTGTTTCACATATTATCGCTCCAATGACACATGCTGTCTTTAATGCTGAAGCTGAGAAGCCAAAGGATCAATATGCCGGGTATTCAGGTGTGCACCTTTCATTTCCGACCTAGTTCGAGAACGAACGGGTTTTGTGATCACCGATTTATTGGGGGTTTTCTGGAAGAAAAAAACCTCAAACACAAGCCGAAAGGGCACCGAATTGAATGACCAATTCAAACACCGACCGCCACGTTCCTTTGATGTTTGACAAGTGTCTAACATTTTCATTTTCAGTCGGCACTGGCGACGACAAATACTCCAACCGTCAACTTTCCAACCACCCCTCCGGCGGCTATCGGAATCCGATTCGTCCACTGGCAGCAGTGAACCACCATCAATTCCCCTGCCACCAAAACCACATCAAATAAATGGAAACGGAGCATTGAATTTGGGGGTGCTATTCGTGTGAGCCCGAGCCTGTCCTGAAAGACTTATTGGCCGTTGCCCTCCCAGCCCTGATTATTATTCAAAACAACCACGTTGCATATCGACACGACCGGCTGCGGGAAAAGGATTGTTCGTGGAAAACGGAACAACGTTCTATCGGTGCCATCTATTCAGCCGATACGACGAACACTCACAGACAGACATACAAAAAGGGGTGTTCGGAATTCTATTCCTTGGATTGGGACGTCGAGATGAGGCTGTGTATTCTATGCATACTAGTGCTTGCTATAAATGCCGGAGTTCAAGCTGGGGAGAATGTAAGTGTGGTATAAAACAAGTTTAAGGAGATCAGGAGACCCATATTAATTTTTATAAAGGTCGGGTTATAGTTTCAAGAGTATCATAAATTGACTATTCCTTTTTACATAGCGTTTGCATATCCCGGTTAGTGTATTTAGCAATTATAAATGATGCCTGGGCCACACGGGTCAATTTTATAGCTTGAAGAATTCAAGGAACTTATATTATTTATATGCTAATAGAGTTTGGGCTGGGCACCAGCTTCTAGCTAGATTCTTAAGTCCAATATCGCCTAAATAAATATTTTAGGATACATCTTTGGCAGGACCAGTCGCTACCACATCCATTGAAACCACTACAACCACCACAACTACCACTACAACTACAAAAACAACTACCGTCCCAAGAATAAGAGTCAAATGTGTGGAAAATGACGACTGCGCTGGCATGAGACCCGGATTTAAATGTTGCCTTAAAGACCGCCCGGCTGGTGAAATCTTTGCTTTCTGTGGGGAGAATTGTTCCAAATAACAATAAAGATAATTCCATTTTCAAACCAATAAATATTGAAAGACCCACCACATCAATGATCGAATCAAGGCAGCCCCAAATTTCACCAGCACCGGTTGCGTCGCATTTTTCACCGGTCGCACGTTTTTGTTGTAGAAATATAATAAATCTTCATACAGTTGGTCGGCGTATCGGTTGCAGGAAATTTCGATGAAACCTAAGTAAAAATTTAATTATTTAGTGAAAAAGAAGAGCGTGTCCTACCAAATGCCCATGCGTAGACAAGTATCTGGATCCATTTGCACATAATCGCGAAGGGTGCTTAAAATTACACAAAATATATTAATACCGACATTAATAAAAAGGTAAAGGTTACCAAGAATTTTTATGCTCTCAATCAATATTTTAAACCCTAGGTAAAGCTGTAATTACCGTCGTTTCCGGTATGGTAATAGTTAAAAAGCATTTCTTAAGGCGGAATTCCCCTCTCAAGTTCCCCCTATTAACAACTAATTAACATAATGATCTGAGTGCATTAAAAGGGCCATCCGGGCAGCTGGCGGATCAATCGGTGACCAGATCGAGGCTTGAGAGGCCGAGAAAAATGGAGGGGTGAAGCTGGGAACAGCCCCTCCTCGTAAACTCTCCCTCCTTTGCCCCTGGGCCCCCATTGCCTGCCTTTGGCCCTTTCTAACCGGGACCAAGAGACCCAGTTGGCCGCCTTGTACAAACAAATCATTATGCAGGTCTCGTTCTGGCATTAACACCAATTTTGTCAATTCGGCCAGTAGGGTAGTATTTAAGAAACTTATTGTATGTTATCTAGTATAGTAATCTAGTGGTTACCTGAGTAGTCATTTAGTATTTATTAACTTTACTAGGATAAGCCGTACGGTGGTTTTGAGTAAAATAGCCATCGAAATAAACATAAAATGACCGCCTCTGCCCATTACCTTATAATTTAAAAATCTAAAACAGCATTTTTTTTGTTAGCCCCGGAGGAGTATCAATAAATATGGGATTCTCACCTACGTACGGCGTTATCAAATTTTCGGACTGGGACGACGCATTTGTCCTGCAAAGTGGACCCTGGGCATTGAGTTTTCTAAAAATGTCTTTATCGCAAACAACTTACAATTTATACGAAATATTCTCAAACGATCAATTGGCTTGTTAATTAACGCATTTATATAAGCCTTAATGAAAGCACCGGCAATAAAGATCTCCCTGATGGCAAATTGTGAGGACAAATCGAAAGAGATGGGGCAGGAAATCAATAGCTTTGCTCTAGTGAACAACAACGGAAATCACGGTGTTGAATGTTATATTGGCAATAGAATTTGTATTCCGGGCACGCGTCGTGGGCTCCCGGCGAGCATTTCCGGTCTTTGACTATGCGCGGGCAGAATGGATCTAAAAACGGATTTGATAGCGTAATTGGCCATACCCACTGTCCTCTCAATAGGTACTTCTGGAGCACGAAGCGTTACGGTATAAATAAATCTCTCGGTGTCGATGCGACTGCCAAAATCGGTTTCGTCACTTTCCGGATATAATATTCGCAGCGGTTTTGGTGTTACGAGGAATATTTCCTCTGTGCTAGCTTCTGATGGCTGGCAGCAGACACTCCGTCCAAAAAGATCATTTAGCGCCAAGACACATTCAGCTTTTTCTAGAAATTTGTTGATCTCTAGTGACTTCAGAAATGTCTAACCTGGGCAATCAAATTCTTTATTCTTTGCTGCTGAACATTCCATTAGCAATTGTGTACCAGGATAAAACACTGGTGAAGAATCCCCAGGACATTCGAGGTATTTAAACGTCTAGAAAATCCAGATTACATGCAAATCATTTCTAACCGATTTCGGGGTAGTCGAGCTAAACACTGGTGGCATGGTATTGTAGAAACCAATTGATTCAGCAGCTGCGTCGACTTCTTTTTGAATATCTATGGGTGAACGGTTTATTTCGTTTTTTGATACTTTCTCACCAATAATCCTTCTGATCGGCGTCTCAATGTGAGAATTCTGGACTCGATTCTCGTGGTTATTTGAGTAAAAGTCGGAGATCGACTCGTGGTGGCTGACAGCTAATGGATTGCTGATTTCCGACTCTGTCGAATTTTTTGGCGGCTCTTCGGCAATCGATAGGTTTTTGGACATTTGATGTGTTCGCAGTTCCGACAGGATCAATTGCGTCGTTTTCGGTGAGAATGTGCAGCAAAAACCGATGAGATCGCCTGGATAAGCACTCTGGCAGACGAATCCATCACTAAAATAGAATCGATTAAGTAAAGTATGTATATAAATTATGATGTATCTAGTGAGGTATATTAAACTATAGATATTACGCGCAAAGTGTCACTCCAACTGTACAAATGACGGGTCGGGAAGAAACGGCATCAATGTATGGTTTGGTAGATTCAGGACAAGTCGCTAAAGTATATTAAGGCTGAAAATGCAAGTTATATTGTTTACCGGTAACGGTCTCGTCACAACAAGCTCCCCATCTAGCACCAGTAATCGTAGCAATACAGTGGTGTTTAGAAGGACAGGTAGATGGATACAGTAGTGGGTCACATTTTAGGGTACTTCCTGACACGGGATGCAGGTATCGTTTTTGGCCAAGGGGACAGATATCTGAGGTATAACTTTGAAAATAGGCTACTATATACATACCTCTTTCCGGTGTGCAACAATACCCGACAGTGCTTTGGGTTATGCAGAAAAAATCTGCAGGGCAGCCATCGGCCACTGCACTTGGCTGGCATGGCTTGACACTCAAGGTACCTGGCTCTAGATAAGCCAAGTATCCCGCCGGACAAGTTTCTAAAACCCAAATAAGCAATTTGCAAGCAAAATGCAACCTCTTCTTGGGTGCCCACAACATACATGACGTCTATATAACCCATCATAAGCACAATGATACCCGTTTGGACACTCGTTTTGATTCATATCGCACACTTTTACATCTCCTTTCACGATTTGCACCACTTCCCCGTCGTTACAAGCTGAGAAAATCGATAAAACAGAGTGTATAAAGTTTACCGGTGTTTTCGCAGAATCTCTGACATTCATGAGCGGAATCGAAGCGATTCTCATTCCCTCCAACGCAGTCGACAAACATAAACGGCTTGCATCTCAGTTCCACAGAATCAAAGTAGAACCGTTGAACTGATGGCTTGAAGCAATCTCCGTATCCAGGATTTAGCGGAAGCGAACAACGATCCGCTGGCAACAAAATATTGAAATCAGATCTAAAAACCTTACCTTTCGTCAAGCAACAAAACCCGACGGGTGTCCCAAAATGCATTTGCCCGGTTGATTGGCATTTTCTTCCATTGGAACATTCCGTATCAACAGTGCACCAGATGACATGCTCGCGGAGAGTCTTTTTCAGGTTCTGTGCCATCGAGACAAATATCTAAAGGACTTTTCTATGCGGTCGGTTTGGGTTCGAACATTACCTTTGAGTTCAGCTTCGGCCAATAAGGCTAGGGTGAAAATGTAAAGCAGAAATTTCATCTACTCCAATCGGAATTTCGCACAGTTGGCGCCTGTTAGCTAGGTTACTAAAATTTGAATACCGTAGAATTGTTTTAATCATAAACCCGAGTACTTTCAGGGAACAAAAAAAATAAAAACAATCGTAAAAAAGTGTTCCAAATTGTCCCTGAAGACGGTGCGGATGGAGCTTACCAGTAGTGTGCGGGCGCGTGGCCCAGATTGGCCCTTCTTTGCACCTCACGCGCACACCTCCACTCGAGTGCTATCAAACCACTTGGTCGAGGGGGAGATCGCATTTTTGGTGGAGACCCTCGCACAACTCACCCTCAGGGCTTTAGCCACCCACATACTGACAGTGCAAACTGATGGATAGTCTGGATACTTGAAGGATTGGAGGATAGGTCCTGGACCCAGTGGTAACCAGAGATGTTACGAATTAAGTAGTATCAAAACGGCGAAATTTACATGATCAATCTATTTGCATTCAGTAACCTTACACAAAAACAAAACTATTCTTAAAATCTGTAATACTAACTTTACTACCTGATCAGTCTATCGCCAAAATTACAATTTTAGGAATAGCGCATATGTCTGGGTTAAAATTACCAAAACTATAGTTAGATTTACAGCCTATTACTATGTAATTACAAATTGTTGGTAATGACAGAGAGGTGTCACGGGGAATGGTCATTGGATGCGTGTATGGCCCAAAGGTAAATATATCCGCAGCCGTTCATTTGCATCCCCCGGGTCATACAAACCAATAGAGATCCGACCCTTCCCCCTTCCTATCCTTTTCAACTAGCCGCACCGAAACATCATTTTGTATTTCTAGATCCTTTCTGCAAGCCATTTCGGGTTAGGCTACGTTCATTTTGCCCCTGGCTTCGGGTTGAAAAACCAAAATTTTTCATTAACTTTGTGATCTCCCATGAGCCAAGCACAGCAAATAAGAGCTTTTTATTTGTTTCCCTGTATCGCAGCCAAACCTCTCCAAACTAACGACGTTTGATTAACAAAGAAAAGCGTTTCCAGCATTTCTTTCAAGGCGATGATGTTCCGATCCCCAACTGGATTTGTTACTCGGCCCGCTCGACGTCAAGGTATCAAAATTTTGATCTTATTATTCTGGCTTTTTGCCTAAAAACGTTTGCTCTGTTAGTCATTCATTCGCCCTTTACCCTCCTTACCTCCGCCTCCCCCTCCTCCTCCCCGCCATCAGCTGCGAGACGCGTCCACTTGTTGTGTCAAATTTCAATATTTGCCAATCAACAAAGTAGGGGATTTCCAATGGAGCCCCCTGCACCCACAATTTGTGCATAAAAATTCGGCCATTTCTGGGCCCCGGGCCGTGAATTGATTTCCCCCGTAGGCGTGCTGGACTTTTTGGTGTGCTACTCCTTCAGGTTTCACCTGTCAATAGAACGTTTCTAATGAACAAATACGCATGATATCATCTTAGGGTCTCCATGAATTTGGACGTCGAGAGATTCGATCAGTTCTTTTACTGAAGATGATAGAAGCCGCTCTAATATTTCAAGATCCAATTATTCCGCATCCGTGGTTTCGGTAACTTTCGAATTCCTAAAAAGATCAACCTTTTAGGGTGACTCGGCAAAAGATCTCATGAAAAAAGTAGGGGTATTTATTTGGACCGATTAATTGGTTAAATTCGTAAGCGTTAGTAAGTGTTGGGATGTGGATCTTAATTGGACTTTAGATAAGAAATCTTCGATTGACTTTACGGATACTATACCCAACAGCTATTAAAGCCGTTATTTGTATATAGAGTACTCTTGGGCTGAATTATGCCCATAGTCAGAGTCATAATATTTTGGGAAGCTGTATAACGTGCTGATTTTGCGATGCTGGTGAATTAGCCATTATGGATAAAGATGGCACTTTAGATAGCTGCTACTGTTCGTAAATTTTCGCAAATTGGCGAAAAGGGACGGCGGTCAGAGATAAATCATATCAGGTATAAACAGTAAGAAATTGCCAAGATAAATCTTCCGAAAATCCGAGCTTTGTTTGTTTTAAATATTAATATACCTCATTTAGGATGCTCTTGTCGATCCATCAGTTGTTATGACACTTTGTCATTGCCTTTTTATTAGCGGGTTGCTCAGCAGCTTTCATGTTGATTCTATTCCAACAAAGACGACGAAAAGTCTATGAGTATCAAATTCAAAGCCCAAAAACCTGGTGGTTTTTAGATCCTCGATCAAGGTGTTGGGAAAGGAAATGCAAGCCATCTCTCTCTTTTGCATTTAAATCAAGCATTGGTCATTCTCTCGTGCGTATTTTCATCAATCATGGCGGCCATGCACTTTTGTAAGGCACTAATCCATCATTTAAAATTTCGATAAATCTTTTCAGTCACAAAACCGGGCTTCTCGACCTTCCGCAGTCCTCCACTCATCAGCATGTTGCTCCCCTTTCACGATTTTAGAAACCTATATTATTTCGTCACGCAGGTTCGTATTTTATAACTTTGATCCAACCGTACCAGAGTTCAGATTCTTATGCTTGCCTCGTTGTTCTGCCAACTTTGCCTAATCCACGGGCAAGTATCACAATGGGTTATGCGCCGAAATGCTCCTTGTCCACGAAGAGTAAAACCAACTTTAACCTCCAAAATGGCGCAAATTTTAGGATGTCCAACCACGGAACAGTCTTTGAAACAGATCCACGATTGCAATTCCACTATCAGGTGCGACTCTATATTAAACCAAGTATCAAAATTTTAGGAGCTCTACAACGCAAAAACTCTGATCGAAGAAACTTTCATTCACCATATATTTTTCACTTATGGTTGCTTATTCCAATGGATATGCTTTTGTGCTATATTCTATTGAAAAATTCGAACGTGAGGATTTTGCGTCTACTGACACTAGTAATATAAATTTAGCAAGATGCTACCGAAATTGTCTCATTGTTGATGTGGGTGTTCAACACAGTAGATAGTGTTGTTGTTTTTTAGCATTCCTGCCTTTATGGTGCAGGAAGAGGGGTGTAGCATTTTTTAGAGTTTGGTAGTCAGCATCTAGGGCGAGAAAATATTGAGCTCTTGTTTTCGGATGTATCAAGAGACGTTGTGTGAAGATCGTGATTTGCTTGTTATGGTGGGACTGCTATGTCAACTTTAAATAATATATAAAATTTAGTCCCAAATGCAATACCTTTCAATTCAAATGCACACCTCGCGTATTCAGTTAACGGCCGGAAATTTCTTCGTGATGACCCGAAAGATTTTGCTAACGGTAATTGAGTTCAAGCGCCTATATAAAAATTTTTCAGCTAACTTCTCCGCCATCTTCACCTATTTCCTCATTATCGTCCAATTCGAATCGGAAGCCAAAGATGACCTAAAAATCTCGGGCATCAGTTGGGAGGGGCTGAACGATCAAATACAAGATCCACTTTGAGCAAATTGCAAAATTATTGACTAGTATACTGTGTGGTTGTACATCCCAAAAATTGTGGGGTATGGTAAGAAAGTGTCGGCTACGTTCTGTTCCATCTTTGCATGTGTGAAATAAAGCCGGTAGGGCAGCCCTTGTCATCACGATCTCTCACGTTGTATGTACATCTGGAATAAAAAAATATTATTTTTTTTTGAATGGTCGTGTTTTATATCATTAAATGCACTGTCTTACGAGTCTGGGTAGATGGAAAAATGGAGGGAAAATGTCGGTAGATCTGAATATGAAATTTAACGCGACTTATGCGCCAACTACATCGACAAATGCTGCCGTGTTTTCTTGAGCTTCAAACCAAATATATTCTTATAATTAAACCTAATCTTAGGTAAAAAATTAAATTCACCTGCATGACCCATCTTTACTAAATCCTGGGCAACAGCAAATCACACGAATCGTCATTTCTCGATGATGGTTCAACCCTGTTCTAAGGGATTCAGCACCGGACAGTTGTAATGCTGGTCCCTAGAATTAAAAATATAACGAAATTATGAGTCTTCCGAAAGATCGTGATAATTTATAATTAACCAGCATGTCGGAAATTCGGGATGGACGAGCAGTACGTGGTTTTGGTGCGACCCTGGACTCTTGATGGTCTGATCGTCGCGAAAAGGGACTGCTAAATCAAAATTTTATGAGCCTAGAGTTAGTGAGTTACCTGGAGTGAAACGTAAAAGGCTTCGGAGTGGTTGGTGTGAAAGCCGTTGTGGTGCTCAGCAAATCTGAATATAATTACGATGAGAATTCCAATATATTATAGCAAAAATTAAAACTCGGGAATTTCCCAAAGGTAGGTCGCATTGTCGGTGTAGTAGGATCGAGGGATGGTCGTTGTAATAGTTGTAGGCAGAATTGTCGTGGTTGTAGCCGGGATTTCCGTTGTACTAATCCTAGTAAATTTCTTTCGCAGTCGCGTGGCTCGTGAACGAATTGTTGTGGTCTCCTCGATCTCATTAGCATCAAACAAATTCGTTGTTGTGAGGGTTACCTCATCCTAAAGCAATTTTTACTCAAAATCCACCCACATTTGGTTCGGAGGTAGTGGTGGTCTTGAAAATAGTTTTCTAAGCTTGGTAGAGAGGGAGGTTTCAGTAGTTGGATCCGGGCTTGTGGGCGGGCTGGTGGTTAGCGATGAACTAAATAAAGTTAAGGTAGTTTAGTTTAGATTTATTTTATGCTTAAGGCGGATTTTATAAACCTTGAAGGCGACGCCTCGTTCGTCTGGGTGTGTTCAGCAGCCTCGGTTGTAAGTGGCTGCGTTGTTGTCGGCTGAGAAAAATTAGGAAAAATTGCATAAATTAATTGTGAGAACCTCCGGAGTTAATGGAATGTTTGGGAGGTGGGAGTCGTTGGTCGGGGTATCAGGTTCGAACATGGAGCTACCATGTCGAAACACCGGAGCCGGCTTTCTGGTGACCTGAAGCTTCAGAATATGGAAATCAATTTAGTTTTACCGTCGTGGATGTGCGTATTTTGGGAATGATAGTTTTGAAAACAATAGTTTTCTTGGTAGTCGGAAAAACAGTGGTAGTTAGGACGGTCGTTTTTGTTGTTGAAAATATTTTGGTGATTTCTCTTCAGGGGCTCTGTTGTTAGTGTTGTTGTTGTCGCTGTCGTTGTCGTTTTCGGTTTTCTGGTAAACTTCTTCTTCTCTGTTGTCCCGACTGTAGTAGTTGTCGTGGCTTCTGTCGTTTTTGGCTTGGTCTTCCTTCTTCGAGTTGTGACGTCATCATCAGGTTTTTCCGTAGTCGGATTTTGAGCCTTATTGAATCTCTTCTTGGTTGTCGGTGCCGGGTCAGTCGTTGATTGTCGGCCCTTCGATTTTGGTTTTGGCCGTTTGGTGACAATGTCCCTATGGGAGACTCAAGATCGTAGTCTCTGACTCTCCTTTTCGTGAATTCAATCGTTGAAGAAGGTGATTGTGATGATGCAGGGGACCTAAATTTCATGCTACACACCATCTCGAACTTACAATGGTTCGGTCCAGGATTCGAGTGATGGTTCAGAAAGAAGGCTGTAGGGGTGGACCATAGTGGCCATCTTCGAGTAGTAATTGGAATCTAAACTAGTATATTCGGAGAATAGAAAGAAACCATTGTCGTCCCAGCCAGCTGACCCCGCAATCGAAGGTCAAATGATGGTAATTTTGGGAGCCATTGATCATAAATATCCTAAAAAAAACGTGTGCTATACAGAGTACAACTCACTTCTCGATCCAGCCTATTTTTTCAAGTCGTTCGAAAAATCATAGTCAAAAGAATCCGGATTCAGGAATTGTGTTAGTTCATCAATGAAGTACTCTAAAAATAGCCATCCTTAAAAGCGTTCGACAAACTTCCACGGGATAATGGCTCGACCATCCGTTTTGCGTCAGTCTTTGGCTGGATGCCGAGGGGTATAAGCTATCCCGTTGCAGAGGAGCAAATAGAGACAAACATGGCATCTCAAGGAGACTTCTTTTGCAACAGACAATGACGAGATGGCTAATGTTGCCAATGAAACAGTTTTGGGGTGGTGGTGAAGGGAGGAAGGAAGCAAGGAAGAAGAATAAGGAGAAGAAGAAGCCCTTATGGTGAAAGCTGCCAATTGCATCCAAGGGAGGGGGAGGACGGCAATTGGAGATCGAGATCATCTGAGTTGGGGCGACTGGTTCGTTGCATTCCGAGTATTGTTTTGGCAACTTATGGAGGTAGGAATAATTCTGGGTATATTTACGTTGGGTAAGTAATTAGGTTATTAGATAATCTTTATGCGAGCTTTTAACAAGGCTTGATCTTAATAACAAAAAAATGTATATTTTGATGGAGATCTGATCTGTCGTTTTCAGCATATTCTACACCTCATGACGTTTCTTCCTTTTCCAAAAAAGCATTTTCTGAGACTGAACTTTTTTTATAAATAGTTAGATTTTATTGTGTTTCAAAACATATAATATATTTGTAGCAGTAAACGGGAAGAATGCTGGCACAAGACATCTAGATACAAGATCAAAGTGCATATCGGAAGTTGCGATATTACATAAGATTGCCTCAGAAATATGCGAGATGAACCGCAGACATATTATCAGCTTGAGAAGAAGCAGCTATCGGGCGGATCCGAGCACCTTTGTGCCGGGTTTGTGATTGATGGTCGGCTCCGTTATGCAAACGAGATCCAAAGAGGGGAGCCACCCCTGAGAACGACTGCTTTGCCCTTCGACTTTGGCCACTGGTTGGGGCGGCTGGCTGTTGCGCCAGAAACTATATTGTATTAAGTTTTTTGTTTTTTTTATATAGTATAAGGGAGCATCCCCTGGAAGCTTAGCAGTTTTTTTATTGAACTCATGCTTTAAATTGGGCTTAAATTCCAAAACTGAACGAGTCAACACGCAGCTAGTTCCCCATCCTGGCTAAGTATACACTATCCCCGAACGTAGTTAATTAAGTGCAAGGTTCCGTTTTGCACCCAGCATTTGACAGCAGCAGCAGCCAGACAGCAATGGGGTCACCTGAAGACTTTGTGCTACTTAGAGTTGTCTTCCGGTGGCTAAGCCAGAAGCGGACTCTCCCCGGTGCCCCCAATGGTTCACGCCCCGGAGCCGCTCGACAATTGATGGCTGCTTCGGCCGCCCTTTTTCTATCCACCCGGGTCAGAAAGCGACTTCTTTGCCACTAGCCTCTCTTCAACATGCCCGTCGTCCACTTTCGAAGAATTTTGCAACTTTTGGCTTTATGTAATACGATTGTCCACATCGTCAATCCTCCCTCCTACCGGCAAAATTGTCGCCATTGGTATACCCCCGAATAATGATGGATTTTCCAGTCTGCCTCATAGCATTCGAACATGCCTATCCTTCAGATGCCCTTTCCAAAAGACCATCCATATCCTTCTCCTTTCCACACCTCATCGACACCCCCCACCCCATTTTAAGCTTTCCACCGCTAGAAGCGCTTCCTTCTCCCCGTCTTTCTTCCTCAGATCTATTCCTTATTTCCCCCGCCCTTCTTTGACTCCTCCAAACACCCTTCCCCCTCCTTCTCCGGCGTGTCCGGAATTTCGTTTGTCCGTCTTTGCTAAAAATTGTGCCCAGCTTTTGTCGATCAGCGAACATATTTGCGGGAGCTCATTTTCGGCGGAAATTCCATGGAGCAAAAGGGGAGGAGAAGGAGGAGGAGGAAGGGCAAAAGGAGGAGGAGGGGTCGGCTCAACGGCCTAAGTTTCTCTCTTATAAACAGGAGAAGGGCTAAGGTGGGATACATAAGGTAGAAGGAAAGGAGCGACGAAGAGTATATTCAGAACACACAGCTCTATCAAGTTGTTTTCCTCTCACCTATGCTGGATTTTCATTGAGTATTCCCCCGGTGGAACGCCGGTTGGCGTTTCGAAAAGTTGTTTTTAAGGTTTAGCTGCTACCCTTGGTGGCTTCGCCTTTTTCGAGATGGATAGAGGAAGTGGCGGGGAGAAAGGTTCTCGTTCTCGTACCTTGGCCAGACAACCCAGGTGGGCTGGGTAATCGGAAGAAGTGGCTGATGCATTCCAGCGATAACCGCTTCTTTGCGTTCTAGGGTGGCCCACGGAGGTCCCAAAAGGCCAATTTTTTCTGCCCGCCCTCCTTTATGCCCAACAACTCGCGCCTTCCGGCCAATTTTCGTTGATTAAGCAGGGCAAAGTGGGAGACGTAAAGCAAAGAAAAGCAAGCGTTCGTACCAGAAGGTGCGGATTTAGGTTTAAAATTTCGCCCTTTTCCTTTTTGAAACTTGCACCAGATGGTTTTCTTAGGTTTCTGAAAAAATTTGAAGGGGTGCAGCCTTATTTTCAGATAGCTATGAAAGAAGAGGTTTTTCGAGTAACGTCGGAAAATAAAATGCATTAGGCCCCAATTCTTCCCTATTCTATAAATGGTCAAACATAAAAGTCGAACAACTACATTCCTTTAAGGGCTAAGCTTACCCTTTCAATTTGCACTTATGGATAAGCAAGCCTATATATAAATATAAAAATAATCCGACGCCGTCCGACCTCTGACATGTCTCCAAAGCCAGCAATTCACCCAACCCCATAGCTCCCTAAGGTTTTCCAGCTCTTTGAGTTCCCAATTGTTTACTCCGCCGGCGTGGTTTTTCCAGTTTTTGCGTTTATATTTTACTCCTTGCGAGCGATTTTGAAATCTCTAACGTAGTTACGGCAGACAATTTATTCATTTGTCGGTTCCGATTACCCGAATGGTCCCAATCTCGGACATCCTCCTCCTGGCCTTCTAACCATTCTCTTTAAATAGAAATCTTCTTATCTTTGATGAAGTCTGACTCCGACGCGTAAAGTTCACGAGTTTGCCCTAAAATGAATGTAAAGTCTTAAATATCAGGACCCACGTTTCATCCGTGATGCTGCTTAAAAATCGATCGAAACCGGATTAGCAGTATTACCATAATTACCGCAATCAATGTTAGTCCAAGTATGCCAACGCATAGACATATTCGAGTTCCATTCATACTAGCCAAGTCAGTCCGGGCCGGTGCTATGAAGAGGCGTAAAGCGGGGTCAAGGTGTTTGTTCAAAGGATTTCCATATGTTCTCAACTCCAGCGGCTTAAAGGGGGAGGTAAGGAGGGTAGAGATTGGCAAGTGTCGGTTGAGGGGAGTATACAAAAAGCGGTTTTTGGTCGTGAAGAAAGTAAGGACCGCAAAAAAATAAATTCAGATTACCAATCAGACATTAGGAAATGCCAAATCACATTTTTGCCAATGTGCTCGAAGCGTTGCGGGACCGCGTGGGTGCCCAAATGCAGCTGAACACACAGACAATTGTGTGTGTGTGAGCGGTGAGATTGTTTGGGCGAATTTGCGTCTCGGGCCAACGGATTGGCGGGGTGCCCTGATTCATGTGTTTATCACGGCTTAGGTACCCCCCAGCTTCACCGTATCGGTTGGCCAAAGAAGGAAATGCTGGGTGTCCGGGGAAAACCATTGAATTTTGTTGATATTGTGCCAAAAAGGTCAACGGATCGAGGGGAAGCGGGAGAAATTTGATTAGTAGATTCAGAAAAGTTGAGTACAGGGTGGCTGAAAAGTTCCTCAATTTCCTGATACTGTTAAATGGACTGGAAATTCCTAAAATTCTAATGAGGTAGAGAACTTATGGTAACTAATAGTTTAATTAAGACGTAAAGAACAAATTGCGAAACAAAAATCCACAATAAATCTTCACAGCTTCCCCCAGACGCTTCGATACAAATGCGCATACACCTTGAAAAGTTGTCTCCCATGGTCGCGCCCTCTGCCGCACATAACCGAGGCCTAGCACTTTCCAGGGCTGTTTTAAGGAGATTCACTGTAGTGGAACGCCCTTTTTCTGAGCTCTTTTGCTACAAAATGATCGAAACCGAAAGATCAAAAAATTGAATCCACTGAGTTGGAGGCCCAAACATCAAAGCCGCAAAAACCCGATTACAACTTTCCCCAGAGGGTGATAGATTGAACGGGCCGGAAAACCTGGTGTCCAGTCTTGCTTAAGCGTGAAAACGTTTTAACTAAAAAATTGCTTAATTCGCGGCCCTAAAACGATCCTAAGGGCTTGATATTAATGCTCCGTGACTTCGATTTTTACGTTTTTCTGAACGAAAACGGTTTAAGGGTTGCTGGGGCTCTAGATTCCTACTCAAATCATCAAAGTTCTCGGAAAACGCGAATGATAGACCAAGACTCCTTTATTAACCGTTTTTGAAGAGTTTTCGATGATTTTGCCCGTTCCGACTCGATTCTATAGTGAAAACATTGACGCCTCCCTGCTCACCGGGAGGGCGCGACCATGGCCGGCAATTTCCACGGCTGCCTGCGCGCTCCTATTCAGCTGCTGGTGGAATTCGTGAACATTTCTTGCGGATTTTTGTGTTGTAATCTGTTGATTACGTAGTAAATAAAGTTCCTGTTGCCTGACCTCAGCCAAATTTTTAGGATTTTCCGTCTAGTGACCTGCTAGAAGAAATTGCGGGAACTTTTCAGCCACCCTGTAATGCTCTAAGGTTAAAAATAGGAAAAGTTAAGATTATTGAATTTAACAAA